GTTGTGCGTTGCATCTTGAGTCATCTGCAATGGTTCTCTGTAATCTGCTGGATTTCAGGCCTTTACACATTCTCTCCTTAGCACTGTGTGCTTTGCTTTTGGTGTCTGCTGTTTTCCAGTCACTTCTGTTTATTTCTGGAATTTTACATGAGCTTTGGAAGTGTGCCAAATGAAAGGTACAGTTTGCAAGAAGTGAACCTCAAGTTCATAGAATCACAGAATGGCCAGGGTTGGAAGGGACCTCAAGGATCATGAAGCTCCAACCCCCTGCCGCACGCAGGGCCACCAACCTCCGCATTTAACACCAGACCAGGCTGCGCAGGGCCCCATCCAACCTGGCCTTGAACGCCTCCAGGGACGGACGGGGCATCCACAGCCTCTCTGGGCAGCTGTTCCAGCACCTCACTGCTCTCAGAGCAAAGAACTTTCCCCTGACATCCAACCTCAATCCTCCCTCAACTTAAAACTATTTCCCCTTGTCCTGCAGTTATCAACCCTTTCAAAGAGTTGATTCCCCTCCCCTCTGTAGGCTCCCTTTAGGTGCTGCAAGCTGCACTGAGGTCACCCTGCAGCCTTCTTTTCTCCAGGCTGAACAAGCCCAGCTCCCTCAGCCTGTCTTCATAGGGGAGGTGCTGCAGCCCCTGATCCCCTGTGGCTCCTCTGGACCCTCTCCAACAGCTCTCTGTCTTTCTTGTCTGCATCTCCTCTCTGCCTGCTGCAGGCACTGTGCTTGCTGAGGTCACAGTAGTTCTTTCTTGCTAACCATAAAGTGCTCCATCAGTTTTCTCTCTCGAGCTATTACTGGAGCCACTGCAGAAAGGCAGATGAGAATCCTGAGCTTTTGGGGAATTGTTCCATCAAGGTTGAAGATGCTGAAAGCTGCTTAGATCTAGTTGATCCCAATAATTCCTCATCTGGACTGATAGAAGCAGGATTCTTGGCAAGGATATAGCAGAGGCAACGCTTCATTCTGTGCTTGCTGTCACAAAAGCAATCCGTCTGGCTCTCAGATTTATGACTTGGGTCCATGTGATGAAAGGTTCAGTGTCATTGTGTGCTCTGATTCAGAAAGGCAGCAGTGTGGGCATCAGCCTTCCTGCAGGTAAAGTGGAGCACTGCCTGTGAAGCCAGAGGGATGCAGAACCAATTCCCAGCAGTGAGCACACGCACCTCTGCTGCTCATGGCAGTCACTTAGCAGGTGCAGCCTGCCGTGCTAGCCTTAGTCATAGCCAGCAGGGAGACTTCCCTGCCTTGCATTGAAATCGTGGCTTAATTTGGGCTCATTTCTTTGTTTAAATGCAAAACTAGTTGTATTTAACCACAGATGAATGTGAAGTTACATTAACAGTTTTTCAAATCAAAGGGGAGTTATTCAGAGTTGTTTGGGAGCTGGGGGACTTTGTAACCAGATAAGAGATATGGGGGAGGGCAGACCTATAAAAAGTGCTATTGTGCAATTATGAAGAGCCTTTTTAACGCAGTTATTATGCAATGCTAAAAAGGCCCTTATTGCTGGAAGTTTGAAGTGGAATACAAATGGGCTTACGGTGTCTGTTAAATGAAGAGTGGGGAAAAACAGTCTCTGTTCCTCTGAACTGCAGAGCAAAAATAATAATTAGTGATTATGATCCATGTCGGTGCTGAGTTTATTAGCCTGATCATATACTAAGCAACAAAGTAGCAGGTAGGGAACAATTGTTGGTGTAATTTAAGGCATAGTTCGTTGTTAGGATGAACTCATTTATCCAGGTTATGAGGTCAACAAATTGCTTCAACCTGCCTTTATCAGTAGAACAATTAGAGTTGAATTCTCCCTGGTGCAAAATAAAGGCTGTAGATGAGCTGAATTCAGAGGAACGTTCTGCTCAGGTAATGCCTGATTTCCAGAAGATTTTTCAGTCTCCCTGACTCGAGGGCTCCTGGACGCACTCCGCTGGGTTCCTGTGTGCTTAGTGGTGTTACTGGGGGTCTGCAGGGCAAGGGAGCTGCATGGAGTGTCCCTGCAGGGCAGAAGGAATCGGGAAACAGCTCTCTGCTGAGTAATTCACCCTCTGTACAGGAGAGACTGAATCAGCAGAGCAAAACGGTCAGCCCAGCAGTGCTGCTGTTCTGCCCTGTTTTCCAGCCTGCTTAGTACTGGGGCACTGCCTACCACTGGCTTTGTAGTCGCGTTGTCACTGTTTAATAGCAGCCATCGATGAGACACTGACATGTTTAGAAGAGAAATCAGTGCTTCTGACAGCAGCAGTTTGCTCAGTGACACCAGTGTTATGCAGCCTTCCTGGGGAGAGGTAGATCAAGTGCGAGGGGCAGGGATTCACGTGTCAGCACTTCCTCTCTTACCATGAGTATTTGGGGGTTGGCCTTTTCTGCTTGTTTTAAAGCCTGTCCTGTGAAAGGAGTGAATGTATGCTAGAGAGGAGATGAAAGCAGGGAGGGCATCCTAAAATAGACACAGTTCATCAAGCAGTGTGAGCCTGTCCCAGAACCAGAGACACAGCTGGTGGAATGTCAGCTGCCTCACTGCTCCCCTGTTCAGATGCTTCACCAGAAAATCCTGCATCTTTTCTTGTTTGTTTATCGGGAGTCCTTTGCTCTGTGTACAGCTCTGCACTTGCTGTCCCAATCCAGAATCCGTTCATGCTTGTTTCCTGAGCACTGCAAGGAGCGTTGCCCCTGGCACGTAGCTGCTCTTTCTGGAGCAGAGTGTGTTCTTTGAAAAGCCAGGTGTGTTTGGCAGCTAGAGGAATGCCTCTGTGGCCTGATGGGGGAAACAGCCGGCACAACAGACAAAGCACTTGCAGTGAAGTTGCCAAGATGTGCTCTGGCTGCATGGGAGAGAGGAATAGCTCAATTAATGGCTGCAGTCTAGAAATAAAAACTACTCGTTCAGGCCTCTTGAAATTCACACTTGAGCTGGACTTGTTAGGCCACAGCAATGCTGCAGCGTCGGGACCTGGCGGAAGGAAATCCAGAAATTGATTACATTTTCTGTCGAATGTATGATTGTATATGAACAGGAAAATGGGGAGCTACCATAGAACCACAGAACAGCTCAGGTCGGAGGGCAGCTCAAAGCCCACCCAGTGCCACCCCTGGCCATGGGCAGGGCTGCCCCCCACCAGCTTGGGCTGCCCAGGGCCCCATCCCACCTGGCCTGGAGTGCCTGCAGGGATGGGGCACCCACAGCTCTCTGCTTTCCTTTTTCATTTGCTTAGCACTAGTATAATTCAAACCAGAGAAGAAACAGTCATGCAGGATACGCAGCACAGGCCAGAAGTTTGGGTAGCTTTCATCTTGGCTTTTTAACTTACTTGGAAGTGATTGTCGATTTCCTATCCTCAATGTATTGGAGCAGGATTGTTTTAATACATGTAGCAACCTTGGTTTTTCTTGTGCTCATGTACAGAATGTTGAAGTTGGAAGGGAACTTGTGGAGATCATCTGTTCCAACCCTGTGCTAAAGCTGTTCCACCTGAAGCATGTTGTAAGCTGAAAGGATTTAGGGAACAAGAAATGAACAAGAAGTATACCTACAAAAGGAGGCCATTTAGTCCTTGTTGCGGTGAACCTAATAAACCTTTAGCCTTTTATTATATTTGGTTCTTTGTATTTGCAGCTCTGTCTGGGAGTGAATTATACTGAAGTAGTATGGTTGAGAGGAATTAGATTAGCCAGCAATAAAACAGGCTGAATGCAAGAGCTGAAAGGGCAACGTGCGCTTCATTGAAAACAGCAGGGAGAGAGAGCCTGCCCTCAGACAAAACATATGAGTTAAATAAAGATGTCCTAAGGGAGATCTCAAAGGCCTAAGAATTATTTTCATTTCTTTCTGGAATTATTATCTAACTTGGATTATTTTTAAGTGATTCTTTAGGGATGGGGCTGCAGTCAGTTGCAGGGAGCATAGAAGTGCAGCATCTTTTGTTGAGTCCAGGTTACAAGCAAACAGGTAATAGATGCTTCACCCAGAAGTGTTAATCATAGACTCAGCAAGGTTGGAAAACACCTCTGAGATCACCCAGTCCAACTGTCTGCCTATCACCACTATTTCCCCGACTAAACCATGTCCCTTAGTACCTGGTCTAAATGTTTCTTGGGCACTCTAGGGACGGTGACACCATGGCCTCCATGGGCAGCCCATTCCAATGCCCAGCCACTCTTTCCTAACATTCAGCCTGAACCTCCCTCAGTGCAACTTGAGGCCATCTTTCCATGCAGTGGAATTATTTCTGCTGCCACAAACAAAAACACAGCCCTAGCCTATAAGCCAAGAGTTGATGATCTCCTGTGAGAAGACAGCAGAAGAGACCAAAATATTGCTACTGCTTTTCAGTAGGACAAAGTAAGGGGAAGTGTGCCTGGATTAAGTTGGAAGCAAGCCTCAGCCACTCCTGTAAAGGCAGAAAGGATCAGTTGTCAGTGGTTGTTGTCAGTGTTTTGGAGATTTCTTTCTTAATGCAGGCATGCTCTGGCTGCTGTAGATATCCATCTGGGGTTCACTGGCTGTTTGGACTTGGGATTCTGCCTGGAAAATGCTGCAGAGAACCCAGAGTATGCCAGTGACTCCCAACCATGACTGATGGTTGGGCTTGTAAGAATGTGGTATCGGAGCAAGAAGTCAACTCCAGAGCAAAGAGAATGGCTGTACAGTGGTGCCAGAACAGGTTTGTGAGCCAGTTCCAGTCAGTGTTCAGGGTGTGCTTAAAGGCTGTGTGCCATCACTGCTCCCAGTGTTGTACTGTGGGCAGGGATTTGAAGGGAAATCGGCGCTTTCTGTATCGTTTGATGTGGCTTTATGTTGAGCTGGAAGTGACTCTGAATGTTTGCAGGTTTCCCAGGGGTCTGTGGCACTATCTGCTCAGATACATACTGATAAAGTGCCAAATGTGCTCCACCCAATGCTCTTCTATCAGATGAGTTGGAATCCTGGCCAAGCTTCTTTGCTGAAGACAGCTGCTGTTGTCTAAACCCCTTCTGTGTGCTCCTTTCTTTGCAGCCTCTCTACAAGTGGATATTGTTCCCAGTCAGGGAGAGATCAGCGTTGGAGAATCCAAGTTCTTCTTATGTCAAGGTGAGTGCTGGCTTTTGGCATGGGGTGTCTGCACGTCTGGGTTTGCTGGGAAGGCCGATCTGCATGTTAGGTCTGAGATAAAAGCTCTGCTGCTTAGTCAGGCTGTAAGGTTTCTTGCTTTCTTTCTCATATGCCCTCAGATTTGGTAAGACTGAAGTATAAAAGGCAACGTGTGGTGTTTGCTGGGAAGACTAAAAACACTCCCTTGAGAGCTGGCAGCAGAAAGCAGCTCCAGGAAACAGCTTTTAAAATGCAAAAAGAAACAAAACAGCAAATGAAGTGTTGCCTCTGTGCTGGAGCAATAGCCACAACAATTTGCATCGTTCCACAGCTCTTTGGTCTTTTGAGTTTAGAATTAAGCTTGATTTTTGGTTGTTAATTTTTTTCCAAATTATATGTCTAGCCCATTGCTAAGAGCAGCGATGGGAGCACCAGGTCACTTGAGAGTCACCACCGCAGCAACTAAGGATTTTAATGCCGCTGAAAATCTTCTTTTTCTGTGACAAAAGTTAGTGTTTGTGCAGCTCCCTTACGGCACCGTGAGCTGCAGTGCTGGCACATTCCCTGTGCCCCAAAGTCCTTTTTTCAATTTGGTGATGTTTTTCAAATTAGTACTTGTCCTGTTCAAAGCAGCTGGCCTGGTTTCTGATGGGAGGAGCTGCTGTGTCAGCACCCCAACATGATAGCATCCTGGGGCATGACATATAGCTAACAGGTGATCAGTGAGCTCTGGGAGCAAAATGCCATCAGTTCCTCAAGAGCATACCAACAGGAGCAACAGTGAGGTTGTCTGATCCAGGGATGCTTCACTGCAAGGGAATTAGTTGATGCCAGAGCTTCAAAAGCAAAAGCATACTCTGAATAAGTGCTGTTGTGATGATGCATACCTTCAGAAAAGTCTGAGATCAGTTAAAGCCCCAGTAATAGGGGAATACTGGAATGCAGTAATAGGAACCTGTCCCAAATAACGAAGCCACGTGGGGGAGTGCAGAGGGATGAGCTGCAAGAGAGGGGCAGCCTGCAACCAATTAGTGACAATAATTGCTTACACTGAATGCAGTAGAAGGTTTAACCTGATGAACACCAGAGCTGCTGCTACAGCAACATCACAATTTTGATACATAAAGCAGCAAATGCACATATCTACCAACAATATGGCAGAACTGGAGCAGGAAGACATGGTTTGTTCTTTTGCTCTCAAGCTGCCCAACGTGGGGCTGACACAGTGGAGGAGCTGGGACATAAAATCCCAGGATGCATGGAAGGCCATTCTGAAATGAAGTGAAACGAAATTGTTCCGCTTTAGATTTCAAGAAACAGCCTAATGTAACTTTTGCACAATAGCAGCTGACCATTCACAGCGCTGTGAGAGAATTTTCTCTGCTTCTCAGGTACCAGAAGCTCTTCTTCCCTTGGGTTGGTTTTTCCACAAAGTGCTGGTTGTATTCCGTATACTGTATACTGTATTCTGTGTACTGGTTGTATTCAATTCCCTACTGGTTGTATTCAGTTTCCTTTGTGCTTGTTAGTTGGGAACTCACTTCATCTGCTTTGTTTTCTTTTATTCTCTGCAGTGGCAGGGGAAGCCAAATACAAAGACATTTCCTGGTTTTCCCCTAATGGTGAGAAGCTGACGCCCAACCAGCAGCACATCTCAGTGGTGCGAAACGACGACTTCTCCTCCACCCTCACCATCTACAATGCCAACATTGATGATGCTGGCATCTATAAATGTGTTGTCAGCAGCGTGGAGGAGGGAGACTCTGAAGCCACCGTCAATGTGAAAATTTTCCGTAAGAGAACAACTCCAGGGCTACTTTCTGGGTATCCCTGGACGTATATGAGGCAAAATTAGGCAGGGGGAGACACCTTACCTTCCTACCAAAGGCCGTTATTGCTGAAGGGGAGAAATGAGGTTCAGAAGGGAGCGTTAAGATTCTCCTCCTTTCTTGGTTTTGAGGAGGATGTGAATGTTGAGACCTTTGCTTGTCAGGTGTTTACCAGCTTGTCTATTGCTTAAATTCTTCTGAAGGATAAGAGAGCAAAAGGCAGAAGGAGAAGATTCTAGTGCATCATAAATGTGTAGGAGGAGGAAGTGTAGATGGCAGCTTCCGTGGGTGACAAACACACTGTGAGAGCTGGGCTGTTGCTCCCAAGTTAAATGGGGTTCTGATGTTGCAGTGCAGTGTGTTGAGTCAAGTGCAGCTGTATCCTCCTCTCTGGGACATGCAGGTTTCCACAGAACAAGCCCTCTGGGGTTTCATTGCTTTTTTTCAAGCTGGATTTGGGTTGAGTTGGGAACACAGCTTGATATGTGCTGAAAAAGCTGCAGCAACTTATTCCTTCCATTGCTTTCAGAAAAGCTCATGTTCAAGAATGCCCCCACTCCTCAGGAATTCAAGGAAGGGGATGATGCTGTGATTGTGTGTGATGTGGTCAGCTCGCTGCCTCCTACCATCATCTGGAAACACAAAGGCAGGGATGTCATCCTGAAAAAAGATGGTAAGATGCAAGATGTACTGGTGCTTGTCCATTTAGGGGTCAAATATCCATCTTCCAGCAGGCTCATGCTGTCTTGTTCTCCTGTACCCCTTGTACAGTCGCAAGGAAGAAAGGGAAACCATTTGGATGTTACCCAAGGGCTTAGGATGTGAACATCGTTATTCCAGGTGCTTTGATTTGGGAATGGTAGGAATATAATGTTCCCACGGAGATGACCATCAGGCTTTGATGCTGCAATAAAAATACATTTTTTGGACTTAAAAAACAAAAACAAAACCATCAGGACAGAAAAGCTGTATGTTGTGATGCTCTGCTTTACAGTATTTCTAAGGAAACTACTGAGAGCTCCTAGCAAGTGTTTCCCTTTCATTCAAAATGCTACAGACCTTCTTTCCCAGAGTGGCATTTCACTGGCAGTGAGGAGTCCAGTGCCTGCCTGCAGTTGAGCACTGGTACCTCAGCTCTCTTTCCAACATCAGCTTCTTACAGGCACAAGGGAACTGTAGTAAGACTCAAACTCTTCCCTCACTCAGCAAGAGGGGCAAGGTTTAACATGATTCTTGTTTGATATTAATTGAATGCAATGTTTGCGTATCTTTATTTATCACTGTACTTTGAGTATAAAACACAGAGCAGTTTGTCTGCTACCTCTGTCTCATTTCTTTGTTGGTAATGTCAGATCTGATTGCAGCATCTCCATTTTAACGTGATGCGAAAGGAAGTTTCATTGCATTCAGCCTTCCCTCCAACTCAGGAAGGTTGAGGGGAGGTGAAGAACCTGTTCCGTGCAGTGAGCTTTCCCAGGAATCTTTGGATGAACCTTCCTTTTCTCTCTTCTAGTTCGGTTTATAGTGCTGTCCAACAACTACCTGCAGATCCGGGGAATCAAGAAAACAGATGAGGGGACGTACCGCTGTGAGGGCCGCATCCTGGCTCGTGGGGAGATCAACTTCAAAGACATTCAGGTCATTGTAAATGGTGAGTGGCATAGAGTTGAGAGCAATAAGTGACAAAGGGCTGCACCGTCTGCGCCCCAGACTGCCGGTGGAAATGTTATCCACATTCACACACACAGGTTACTGTCTATCAGCTTACTAATCTTTCTCTGCTGTGTCAAATAAAAGCATCCATGGCTACCAAATGTGTACTGGAAATGATCAAATCCAGAGTAAGTTTAAGTGCCTAACAACTTCGTGAGGTGTTGAGGCTTACAAGTGGTTTTGTTGACAGCACAGATTTTCTGTGCATCTCTCCATCCTCACACCACTTGCTTTGGAGAGCTCATACATCAAGCCTGACTGTTGAAACCTGCATGTGGCAGCTGAAAGGGTTTGAATCGCTAGCGACATCTGTCTATATTGCTGAGATTTAGTTAGACTTCCAGGCCTCATTCTTGCTCACATCTTCTGTCTCCCCTTTCTAACTTCAGTGTGGTTTCCTTCTCTTCTAGTACCTCCTTCTGTGCGTGCCAGGCAGAGCACTATGAACGCCACTGCCAACCTCAGCCAGTCTGTCACCTTAGCATGTGATGCTGATGGCTTTCCTGAGCCAACCATGACGTGGACAAAGTAAGATGTTGTATGCAGTGTCCTGATTCTTTGTGAGCATGGATGTTTTCAATAAGGCCCTGGAAAACCAGGCAGGAGGGGAAACCTTTTAACCGCAATGACATGAATCCATTTTTCTCCCAAGAGAAGGAATGACCTCCTAGCAGGGAATTGCAGTTAGTTTTGGTTGTGAGTTAATGTTGATAGGCAGTGAAGCACCACACAGCAGCTCTTCCTTCCCACTGTTGGGAAGACGTGGAGATACCTCTGACACTGAGTTTCAGTGTAGTAACGCAGTTCACATTAACATAAAACCTCACAAGCAGCATTTGACTGCTTCTCCTCCCCATCACAGCCAGTGTGCTTTGTGCCCTGCAGGGATGGAGAGCCGATAGAGCAGGAGGACAATGAAGACAAATATGGTTTTAACTACGATGGGTCTGAGCTGATCATCAAGAAGGTGGATAAGAGTGATGAAGCAGAGTACATCTGCATTGCTGAGAACAAGGCTGGCGAGCAGGATGCCACCATTCATCTCAAAGTCTTTGGTGAGCTTTTGCCTGTTCAGAAACCCTCTTTTCCCCTCATGTTGCTTGTTTCAGATGTTGCTGTTTACAGGCGGGTTTCATTCTGAGCAGCAACTGAATGAAGGTTGTTTTTATTTTTCTTTCCAGCAAAACCCAAAATCACGTACGTGGAGAATAAAACAGCGATGGAGCTAGAGGATCAGATCACACTGACCTGTGAGGCATCTGGGGACCCAATCCCTTCCATCACGTGGAAGACCTCCACCCGGAACATCAGCAATGAAGAGAAGGTACCACCACTCCCAAGACTCTGGTCTTTTGGGCAGGGGTCAGTGCTGCATGATGGCAGCAGGCACATGGAGATCAAGGTGCTTCCCCCCTCCATAGTGAGAATGCTTGCAGTCCTGCACAGAGTAACTGCTGGAGGCCAGCTCTGTAGCTGAAGTAATCCCATGGGTGTCCTTTATACAAAGAGCAATCACAGTTTGTAACAATTGAGACTATGCTCTTTAATTCCTGCTTGTATTGGTCTAAGCTGAATTGATTTACAAAGCATGAAGCCCTGGACCCTTCTTGGAGGAGTTTTGTGGTGGGCATAGAGATACAGGACTTCTGAAAGGGTTTCCAAGCTGGGACATGGGAATGAGCACCCTGATTCCAGTGTTGTCCATGCTGTCATCATGAAGATGATTTCTCTGGGGAGGGTGGCAGGTGAAAAGGTGTGGGATATTCTTTCAAAAATGCAGTGGACCAAAATGAACCTGTTAATTCATTCTTGCTCTTCTTTATTGTGTGCTAACTCTACACGTACTTGAAGCACGAAAGCCTGGCTGCCTTTATGTTCACTTGTTTTGTGGATCACATCAAAACCATTTTGTTCTTAAAAGGCAAAAATAATTAGCAGTTTTTCTCTTTTAGAAGGGTGCTGTTTCATTTATTTCGTTATTATTGGCCATAATTCCCTTTTACCAGAGAAGATTAGAATGCACTTTGTTATTCTGGATATTACATAATAGTTACGTAAGAAGTTGACTAGGAGGCATAGTAGAGCTGAAGAAAGCTTAGACACGAGTTAGAGTAGGGAGTTAGTGCTTATTAACGGTCTTACAATGACAGGATGCTTCAAGGCTCAGCTCACATGGGAATATCAGGGGGTCTGACTTGGTATGAAGGTAGCAGCTGATTGCCTGGAAGTCTCAGAGGCAACGGCTGTCAGTCATTTAGAGATAACCACTCTTAGTCATCCACATTCTGCTCCACTGCCTCCTAAACGAGTTTTTTGTATTGCCCCTGTGATGTCAGCTCTTCACTGTGTTAACGTGGAACTTTTTCAATCAGGGTGCCCTCTGCAGAGAAATGTTAGTGTCTTCTGTATTCAGGAGTTTGTGTAGATTAGGGAGCATTTCAGGAGAGATTCCTGTTGCCTTTGAAAGCCCTTGGCTTGGTCTCTTAGCACAGCATGACTGGGGGACCTGTTTCAATAAGACAAGGCTATTTGTGGTCTTTTCTCAGTCTAGAAGGGTGATGGGAGGAGTTAAATGCCTCCTTTGCTTCCAGCACTGGGGTTTGGATCACAGCCAGGGAGAAGAGCTTTGTCAGGGAGAAGAATATGAGACCTGAAATAAGGCTCAATGGAGTAGAAGTCTGTAGGAGCGCCTGTTTGCAGGGAGTCCTGTCTGCCAAGCCTCATTAAGCTAACAAGACCTCAGTGGCAAAACTGCTAACCATTTTTGAGACTCATATATTGTATATCCTTTTTAATGCAGTTAAATCAGTGATCAGTGTTAAAGAATGACGTTACGTGTTCTGGTAATATCTTAGTGGATGGGGAGAAAATCAAAGGTTTGAGGTACCACCGTGTTGTTCATGTATGGATTCAAACCTTTAGGGCAAAGATTTGCTGTCATACAACATTCATTTTCTAGGCAGGATTTTCTTCCCTCTCTCTCTCTCTTTTTTTTTTTTTTTTTTTTTTTTTTGTTATTGTTGTTTTCTTCTTTAAACTTTTTCCCATTCTGTGGGTAAATGGTACAGACTTCCAGAAAATTCTCAGGACAAAATAGCTCTGTTGGACATTCCATGCTGTGTACAGCCTTCGTGATGCTCTTTGGTTGTGAATGTAGAAATGCATTACTTAGGAAAAGCTTTATCCCTGTCTGAAATTCTTGTTTATCCCTACTGCAAAAGATAGCAAGAGCTATAAGCCATAGGAGGTCATTAACATAAAGTCAAGCCATTTAAAGTCATTTTATCTTTCCTCAACTAATTATTGCTGTGCCATTGTGGGGAGGAAGAATGTGGGGTTTTTTTTTGTTACCAGATGTAATGCTGATTAAGCCAGTATGCCATATTCCTCATCACCTCCATTACATTTCCTCCCCTTGTAAAAGAGGTGTCCATGTGCATAGTTTGGATCTGTAGTACGTTGGTGTTCCTAAGTTCTAAGATTTCCGTGGCAGCAGCTGTACCTGTGGGGTGAGCCTCCCTGGCCTGCCGTGCCAGCTGTCAGTACCTGCATCACATTACTGTTTTCACAATAGCAACTCGTCCTTCCCAAATGGAAGGGAAGATGTGTGAGTTTCTTGATTCTCCTCTAGGAGAATTGTACAGATTGGAGCTTGTATGTCTCTTGGCCTTGGTGAGGAAGGGTTAAGATAAAAACTCTTCGGGATGGAGACTCTGGTTCTGCCTTCTCCCCACACCCACCAGCCCCAGTACAAAGAAGCAGCAAACTGGGGGAATGTGGGAACTGGCTTCTTCCCTCCTTCATCTTCCTGGAGCCTGACACGTGCTGCACACCACAGGGTAACGGCACGTCTGTTCTTTTTACACCTCTGTGCTGGTGCTATAGAACCGCATTGGAGAGAATTGAGAGGAGACTTGCATGGACATCAGTGAGGTCCTGACTGGTTCTGGTAGTGACTGGTATATGAAAAGGGAATGATGCTGAATCCTGATGATGATTGCCTGTTCGGTTTTCAAGGAACTTGTGCACAAGAGGATATAGATACATAGAAATTATGAGATATGGAGTTTCGGGGCAGATCCCCAGCCCACATGTGTGTTGGTGAGCTTTGTTTTTTCCATTGGAGAGCCCACCTCAGGCCTCTAATCAGAAGTAAATAGCCTGCTTTTGCCAAAGACTTCATAGAACTGTCTGTACCATTTGTTAATACTGAAGTCTCATAGTTTTCACTGCAAGCACTGTGGAAACAATACTGTGCTTTTTCTCCTCATTTCCTTAACTTTCATCTCCATGTCTGTAACTGTAAATCACTGTTGTGTATTCTGTTATATCCACATGCCAGCAGTGCTTGTGCCTCAAAAATGCTGTTGTGACTGTGATATTAGCAGGTGATTTTTGACTCCTGAATTGAAATGGATCAAGTTGTGATTGAAATAGACACTAGAAGAGAAAAAAAAACACGTTTGAAATTCATAGGGAAAAAGGGAACTCTGTGACTTTGGTCGTTGTGAACCAGAGTGAATACGGTCCACAGTGTTGCTGTCTGTCTCTGAATGGCAGTGTATGTTTCTTGATAAGGTTTGTGCATGTTTGACTGATGCCTGTTTGCTTAATTGTCCCAAGCCCAGCAAGGACTGGGTGCACGTAGCCCTAAGCCTGGTGAGCTGGGTGTGATGAACTGGAGGTGGGGCTCAGACTGTTGCTCTGCAGCTCGAGGGCTCCCGCTCCTCACACAGTGTGCATGTAAACCCATACAAATGCATGAGCACATGAACCCACAGGGGTTAATGGCAGTCGGTGTGTCCAGGTGGCAACCAGCTCAATAGCTTATCTTTCAATTAAGTGACCCTGGTTATCAGGATTATTTCCCTTGGATACCTAGCTGTGTTTCCAGAAAGGATGAGATGTGACAAGGGAAATAGTCACTCAGTATTTAAGAATAGAGGCAGAGAAAGGGTTTAGGTATTGTTAGATCAATTTTGAGGATATTGAATTTTGAATGCAAGTCTAAATGCAGGTTCTGTTGGGAAATGGAAATTGCAGTCACCCCACACACGAGATACACAGCTCGGAGCCTGCATGCGCACAGACGTAGCGTGGTGCTGATACCTGAAAGCAACCTTTGATAAACTTGTATTGCTTTTTTTTCTCCTGTTGTTGTGTTCTATATCTGTTCTCTCCAGGCTTCGTGGACCCGGCCCGAGAAACAAGAGGTATAATCTTATACCAGACCTTTAGCAAACTTCCTAGTTGTTTTTATTTTTGTTTGTTTTTTAAGCATTACAGATTAACAAATCTCTAGTCCAGCAACCACGCCAACTAAACCAGCATTAATAATACAAATAAATTAAGTACCGGTACTGAAGAGAAACAGCTAATAGTGTTAGAAGTTGCTTGGCACGTAGTTCTGCATCTCTGGATGAGCAAACTGGCTGTGTTGGGAGTGAGTAATCCTGGTTGTCACCTCAAAAAAGGACAAAAAGTGCCGGGGGAGGGAGAAGAAAGGGAAGGCAAATCTGCAGCCTGACAAATACAGCTTCACCATTTCCTTCAGTCTGCAAGTGTGGGTCATGCCTCTGTTCTGGAGTTTTAAGAGTTAGCAGCTGTGTGTATTGTGGGATGGTACCTTTTTTCTGAGATAGCCTCTTCTGCTCCAGCCAACTCATCTGTTTGCTCATGGCACCTCTTCAGTTTGGCCTTCTCTTAGAAGATAACTGCATCGTATTCTGTTTCAAAATCAATGCAATTAAATCTCTCCAAAATTATATTTTTTCCAGAAAATGCTCCCACTTACTGAATCATTGTCACTTGCCTTTAATTTTCAAGGGTCAGTGAAGGGGAACAGGAAAATACAGTATGGTGTGTTGCTGTTTTGTTTCAATTCATTACTGTGTTGTAGAAATAATAATCATCTGCCATTAAGTGCACCTCATTGCTTTCACTCATAAAAACACTGGATGCTTAAAAACTCAGTTAAAAGTACCTCAGTTACATCCCTGATCGGCAATGCCTTCCTGCTAACTGGGTATTAGCTCAGCTTTGCAAATACGAGGAGCTGCAGATGAGTTAGTGAAATGCAAGCGCAGAGCTGGGAGAGGACGCCTCACTTTCTGTCCCTGGAGTTTGTGGCTGTGGTCAGGATTTCCAGGGGCTGTTCTGTAATGACCTCTCCTGTATGGAAAGTGGGCAAGCAAGGCTGTTAGATTGGCATGGATGCTTTGGCTTGTGAAAGGATTGAAAAATCCTACAGAGGGGAAGGGGGAAGGTGCATTCCCTGCCTGTCTCATCTGTTCCCCCTTGTCACTGAAGTATTAACGTCTACTCCAGTTGCTGATGCAGTGACTGTGCTGTTGGAATTTGAAGAAAAACACCTTTGTGCTCCTCAGCACAACCTGTAGCACTCAGCAATGCGGCACACCGTCACACACTTCTCTGGAGAGAAGAGTGGTACCTGCAGTCATAGAACTGTAGAATGGCTTAGGTTGGAGGGGACCTTAAGGACCAGCACCCAACTCCTTGCCTTGGGCAGGGCTCCCCCAGCAGCTCAGGGTGCCCAGGGCCCCATCCATGGCCTTGCTGTGGTGTGAGTTGTTGCCTGTGTCTCGTAGGTTGTCCCACCACTATGGGAAACATTGCTATGCAAAATTGTCTAAGTCAGGGCAGTTGGGTGAAGGGATTACAGGTGCCCACAGCTCTGGCTCACAGGTTTCTACCTACCCCATGTCTCTAATAGCCAGGGATTGCCAGTATCTGATGGTCTGAAATAGAAATGAAGAGAAGCAGTAGCGTGATTTCTTGCATGGAGATTATTCTCCTTGAATATATTTCCCTAATCTTCCTTTTCCTTTACACATGCCTTTTGTACTAAGATATACAGCCACATCTTCAGGATCGGTTATATTTCTGGTTAAGTTATTCATTTATCTGAACTGCCTGGCACTGTTCTGTTTGTATTGAATCCTGGAGAGGCAGGTGGCACGACGTAAAGTCATCTTTGCTGCAGCGATCGTGGGCTGCTGTTTTGCTATAGGTGTAGTTACACTCTTGCCTGATTGAGTCAGAGGCCAACAGAATGGTCACCTGAGTCGTGAGCTAAAAGATGGCGAGAAAACTGCAGGTCTGAAGTCTTTACGTTCATGGATCCTACTGCAGTAGTTTCAGAAGTGAGCTGGATTTTGGCTGTGTAAGATACACAGTTATGGGACCCTTCACCACTTCTAGGAAATGTGTTCTTGAAATAAATCACAGTTTCCAGTAACACAAGGGACCAAGGACAGAAGAGGGCATAGAATTTGTATCTTGTGGCATTGGCTGTAGTGGACCTGTGTGCGTGGTAGAAGAGATGCACATACTAACTGCTTTTGTGTCGAAAGGTAATAACTTTCTTCATTTGAAATTTGGCTAGCTCAAATGGACTAATGGACTAGTATTCAGAGCCAGCAGAGGTAGCACCTTGTTCTGTGTAGAAGCTTAGTCTCACAGCTGTAGGCCCCCAGCTCCGAGCAGAGGGATGCTTCAGGCGTGCAGGATCACCTGAGGTATCAGAAACACATTTGGTGCTACAACTCAGTGCCTGTCCATGTGATTTCCTCAAGCTGTATCCTCATAATCTCAGCACTTGTCTCACATCCTTCAAGAAGCAGCGTGCTCTTGGAGCTCTGATGGTCTGAAGAGTGGCAGCAGGGTGCTCAGTTTGTTGGAAACAGGATGAGAAAGCTTGTCCTTTAAAGCTTCCAAGCTGACCACATTAGCACAAGGATCAGCATGGAGGGTGTTTGGGTTGGATCCCTGAGTGACTGCAATCCCTTTGAACAGATGACAGCCTGGATTTTACATTCCTTTTCTCTCATTGATGTCCCTGTACTCTCCTGCTTGTGGGAGCAATTTCTGAACTGGCTTCCAATCAACAGAGTTTGCTCTAGAACTTTCTTAGAGCATCACAAGAACTTGAAGCAGGCTGTCTTTAGAAGGGTCCCATAGTTTGCTTGCCCTGCTCCCTGTACCTTGCTCTGTTTGGTGCTGTGCTCAAGTGAAAGCTCTGAGCTTTCATTTTGCCTGATTCAGCTCTGAGGTTTGGATCTGTTCTTACTAATGCCACTTAACGGATGCTGAAATAAAACAGGTATCAGTGAGAGAAGTCTCAAATTCTCTGAGTGAAAATGGTACTAGTTACAGAGGTTTTCTGCAAAAGCATCCTGGCAAAACTGCTTTAACCAGAGCTGGATCTCCGCAGTTGTTAATCTAAGAAGCAGCTTGATGTTATTCAGCTGTCCTCAGTCGTGTAGCAGCATCTGATACTTCAGTCCTTCATTTATTTTCTTTTTGTTCCCGTTACCTGAGTGCTTTGATATGCTCTGTTCAGTCCTGTGCAACAAGGCTGAGCTGCTTTAGGAAGTGCTGTGCCCGTGGTTTCACCTGCCAGGTGATCGCTTCCAAGTGCTGAGCACTGGAGGGCTGCTGTGAGGTAGATTTGTGTTTGTCCCTGAGCTGCAGCGCTGCCCAAAGCCCAACCCCTGACTCTCAATTCCTTTCCTGCCAGACCCTGGATGGGCGCATCGTGGTGCGCAGCCACGCGCGGGTTTCGTCCCTGACTCTCAAAGAAATCCAATACACAGATGCTGGAGAGTACGTGTGCACAGCCAGCAACACCATCGGGCAGGACTCGCAGGCCATGTACCTCGAAGTGCAGTGTAAGTGGGTGAGGGGCAGGGCGTGGGATATGGGCGGGTGGGCAGGGGGGGAGAATGTTTTCTGATGAGGTGGAGGCACCTACGAGTAGGGAAATCTGTGTTATTGTTGTTGTTATTATAAGCAGAGGGCATGGGAAGCAGCTCAGTCTGAAATAATGCTGTTAGAGTTGCATTTTGCTGTGTGCACACGTGCAAATGGTTGCATGAGTTGACTCCAACTGAGACACTGTTTGCATCCTGGGAAGATCATGGGCTGTGAATCTGCCGTGGGCTCATTCATGGAGCGTATCAACGTTGCACTTCCCCAGGCGTGTAGCTTGCTGTCTGCTTGTCCTCCCACTCTGCGTGAGGGACAGCCTTTGGTTCTGGGCGGACTTCTTCCTATGTCCTTCAGCAAAAGACCACCACCACCAGCAGCCCCCTGGATGAGAGGGCTGTCTCCTATCCCCACGTTAGGTTCCTTCTCCCACATCAGCCTGGGTTTCAGCCAAGGAGTTCTTGCAGTGAAGTTGGCTGGGCTCCTTCAGGAGTTTTTCTTGGTTATGTTGCCTTCACAAGAATGTTTCTTTCAGATGCTCCCAAGCTTCAGGGCCCTGTGGCCGTCTATACCTGGGAAGGGAATCAAGTGAACATCACCTGTGAGGTATTTGCTTATCCCAGTGCTGTCATCTCCTGGTTCCGGGATGGACAGCTGCTCCCCAGCTCAAACTACAGCAACATCAAGATCTACAACACTCCATCAGCAAGCTACCTGGAGGTGAGGAAAAGCACTAAGGGGAGAAGGGGATGTGTACCAGGAAGGCTCAGTGCTACCAAATAATGTGTTTCTGTTGATGAAGCCCAGTCTTTCATCAGGGTGCCCTGTTAGTGGGCAGCAGGTTGTGGCATTTCTGGCACACAAATGCAAAGGACATCAAGTCATGGCAAACACCACCCCCTCTCCTTGCTTTTGACTTTCTGCTCACTGTAGTTCTCTCATTTGTGTGTCAGCACATGAATTTCATTATTACTTCCTTCCCCAGTAAAACGCAAATGGCATTAGCAGAATGAAAAGTGCCTTCTGATCCAAACATGCACTTCAATTTCTTCTGTAGGTGACACCAGACTCTGAAAATGACTTTGGGAACTACAACTGCACTGCTGTGAACCGCATTGGCCAGGAATCCTCAGAGTTCATTCTTGTGCAGGCGGGTGAGCATCCCAGGCAGGGAGATAAGGAAATGCTACTCTTCAGGTTGTCCTTTTTTCTTAAAGGAAATATTTGATTTTGGAGAAAGCACTTTGAGTCTCTGACCTCTTAGAGAAGACACAAGATTAAGGTTTCTACACTGTCTAATTAGTATTCTTAAAAGCTCTTTGAGGACTGTCACAGGCTGCCCTTGTCCTCTCCTTTATCAAGCCATGACTAGAGTGTTCTTGGTGTTCCTAGTTTTCTGCTTTCTCTGCCAGGTTGGGAGCTGGTAGCCCTTGTTTCCTGCTGTCTGATGTGTCACTGGTTGTTTCCCCTTCCTCCCCCAGATACTCCGTCCTCTCCTTCTATTGACAGAGTTGAGCCCTACTCTAGTACTGCCCGCGTGGAGTTTGATGAGCCTGAAGCTACTGGTGGGGTGCCCATCCTCAAGTACAAAGCAGAGTGGAGAGCACTGGGTGAAGGAGAATGGCACTCGAGATTGTATGATGCAAAAGAAGGTAAGATGGTAAAGCAAAATTAAAAAAAAAAAAGTTACCTTCTCGATCTGCATCTCAAAACATCCCTTCTTTCCTTCGGGGAAAAGCTAGCGTGGAGGATTCTATAGCTTTGCAATTTCAGCAATTTCATTGAGGCCCCACACCAGTTCTTTAACATTTGTTTTTCAGTAACAGCTTGGTACAAGCAGAGCGATGATTCCCTTTGGTGTCTACTGTGAACTCCACTACATCCCCTCTAGAAAGGCTGTGGCTCTGTCCCTCCCTAATCAATTCTTTCAAACAGAAATGGTAGCTCTGACCTTTCTCCTTGTCTTCACTGTTTATGTGGCTTTGTTCGTGGTCTAAATGTGTCAGGAGTGCAGTAGGAACATGGCATTGATGACTTGACTCAGAGCTTGAGTGTTTCTTTGCTTTTTCTCTCTTGTTTCTGCAACAGCAAATGTGGAGGGCACAATCACTATCAGTGGCCTGAAACCTGAGACAACCTACTCAGTGAGACTGTCTGCAGTCAATGGCAAGGGTGTGGGTGAGATTAGTCTGCCATCCGACTTCAAGACACAGCCAGTTCGTAAGTAACACTGAGAATCTCTCTCTGCTTTTCTGGTTTCTCTCTCCTTGCATTTTCCAAGGACTCTGTCATGCATGGACAATGCCTTCTGCAGACCTTGCTGCACCCTTTGTTTTTGTTGTGTTTTTTGAGTGTAGTGAATTTCCTCGCTAGTTAAAAATCTTATTTAAAGGTGAGAGGCAGGGAAGTTATTCACACTGGTCTGTGCTCTGGGTTATAAGGATAAGCTGTATTCTGTCAAATAGAAGGGGCTGTGTGATGGAGAGTTGTAATAAGAACAAGCAGAAATTTGAGAAAGGCATGGTAATAAAGAATATGAGGTTCCTTGCAAATCAGAAATCAGTAAGTTCAACAAAGGAGCCTCCATGAGCAATGAAGGAAAAGAAGGAGGATGATTTCTCTTTTCTGCACATTACTTCTTAAGGATGTCCACGCAATGCATGAAATGATTTCCATAGACTCTTGTCTGCCTTACTTGGGCAATCTTCCCCTCTGATGGCAGGATGCTCTGCTGCGCCATAATACTTTTCTCCCTGTTTCAGCCCCCTGCGGTTCCTAGGGTTCTTCTTCCCCATTCCCTTTGTGTTTAGACCTAGAGCATGTTCTTCTTCCCTCCATCACACCTGTACTTGTGAACCCAGTTCATAGCTCTTCTGAAACCACTGTGCAGGACTGTCTCCTGAGCTCAGAGCCAGCAGTATTCCTATCCCATACATATCTGCATGCTTGGAGGCCCTGAGATCTGTGCATGGTCTTGAATTCATCTCCCAACTTTTCCCTCAGCAGAACTGAGCAGTGTGTGGCAGTATGCTTTCCTTGTTGCTTAGAAATCCAGGTTCTGTGCAGGAAGCCACAGTACACACCAGCCCTCGTGCTTGAAATCCAGTTCTGTTGTAATAACTCCTACTGCCTCCCCCACTCCCTAGGGTTGGATTTGGGACATCTGGTGGTATTTTGAATTTCCAGCTCCATATTCATTGTCTACTCTTCTCATCTCTTCTACATTTTTTTTTTGTGTGTGTGTTTGTGTTTATCTCTGTCTCTTATTTTTGTCTCTGTTCCATCCATGGAAATACTGCAGGTATCCCTCACTCACGTAAGTGCCTCTCTGCATTTGTTTTGTTCTTTTTCTGTTCCTAGAGTTCCTCTAACACACATAGCACTAGCTGTTAATCTAGTGCCTTTTTTCCTCCAGGTTCATTAGAAATGAAATAACTGGTACTGCCTGTTTCCTAACAAAACTGACACTAGAATAGTCATCCTATAGGTAATACTAATCTTTTATAGAGCAGAACTGTGGGTTAACATCTGTCTTGTACAGCATGTGATTCAAATAGTTAGAGCACTTGTCTAATTATTAATTAGTGGTTATGTGGGCTGTACTTCAAGCCACGCAGAGTGCTGGGCAGCATCTCCACTGCCCTTATGTGGCTTTGGTTCGATGGGAGAGCTGGTGAATGACAGTGTGCTCAGTGATCCCACATGATGAGGAAATGGCTTTAAAACAAGGATTCGGAGTCCAGCATGCAGGTTTAACAAAGTGCCAAGTCCTGAGTTAGGAGGCAGTGCTTCCATTGCTCGTGCTTTTTGTCCAGGGAGGTTTGATCTGACAGTCTGTTTTGCACTGTAGTTGCCCTCCTTTGGGCAGCATTTAACAGGAGTCCCTTCCTCACCTTCCTTTCTTTCTTTAGCAAGTGCTGCTGCCCCCGCGTGTTTAGCAGAGAGTGAGTATGGTGGGAGAGTTGTCCTGTTGGATTTGCTCTGCATGCATCTCCTCACTGAGTGTGGTGCAATCTGCCTAACATCCCTGGGTGCTTTCCTTCTTTTCTATGCAGATGTTTTCCCCTGATTAAGAACTGGGTCTCCTGGTAGAGGAACTGCAGATGAGCACAGGTTTGATTTCTAGGAGAGGGAAATATCACAGACGACTCCCAGGTGTGCTGCCTGGTGCAGAGAGCAAGCCTGCCTGGGTGAAAGCTCTCATCATTGGCCTTTGATTTTAAGATTCCTAATCAACTTGTGTTCCACTTCATGGGATGTGTTTGGCTTTTGTGGTGTGAGGTTGAATTTCTTGAAATCCTCACAGCACAGAAAACCAAAGAGGCTGTTTCTTAGCTAAACAGGGGAGAAATGATCAGCAGCAGATGGTGCTTCTGTAGAGCAATAGAGAAATCATCACAACTCAGGTTTCTCATGTTGCATTCACCCCAGGGCGTTTAGAATTAGTGACATTCTTCTTTGTGCTTATTTCCTAGTGATCCTCATATTCGGTGCTTACACAGTCTGTCTTCTGCTCTTGGAAGGGAGCTGCTTAGCAGCACTTCTAAGGGGCTTTTCATTCTGTTACCTCCTCAAAACATGCCATATTTCCTCTTGAGAATCCTAGTGCTTAGCAGTCTGGCAACATGAACCAGGTTGCTATTTGGGCCCAAATTAGTCAGAAACACTGTAGCTGTCTCTGAAGTTAGATTCAGAGCTTCAGAATTCCTTAGGACAAAAAAGCCTCAGTGGAGACCCTTGGAGCCTGGCACACTGCAGGACCCAACGCAGGCTGGCTCCTTTTCCCCTGGCAGGGCAGCACAGTTCTGCAGTCTCTCCAGGTGAATCATATCTGCCATAGAGATTCAGTGTCATTCTCATTCTCTCTTTGTTAGGCTTTCTCTTTCCTTCCCCTCACCCCTGCTCCCTGCCTCTGATAACTTATTTTCATGCTGTGCTTCACCTTTACATGTCTTATCTATCCTTCATGTTTCCATAGCAACTCAGCCTCTCCCTGCATCCGAAAGCACAGAGCCACCAAGTGAGTAGATGGGAAGTGCTCCCCTTTGGTCCAGAGTGCTCTTTGTTATGCTGTAGCCTTCTGTCAAGGGAATTAAGGCATGAGGCTTTGTTGGTTTGCTGTCTGTTAACCAAGAACCAGGCATTAATCTGTTATGTGAGCATGTAGCTGTTAAATGCAGCATGGTTCCACTCTGACTCCTCTCCTTACTGTTGTCCTGCCAAGCATGCGGTAAAAAATTGATAAGTGGGATTTAGAAGAAACGAGGGGAAAGAAAGAAAGGTGATCATTTCCAAAAGGAATGTTTTCCATTTGTGATTTTGAGAGGTAAAGCTGCCTTCACAAAAGGGGCATGGAATAGATAATCTGCTTGATATCCTGCCTCGGTCTGTTCACTGCGAATCTAGAGACAGGCGTTCATGTTGTGGCTCTCAGTGCTGGATGCTGAAAGAAGATGCACATGATGAGTATCATACAGCAGAGAGGACTGCAGGGAGGGGGAGCATTGCTCCTATCTGGCCTGCATGAGACTTCACAAGAAGTCAGCATCTCAGCTGGGAGTGGGATTTGGATTCCCTCCATCCTAGCTCTGTGCCTTGTTGGTGAGATTCATTCTGATACTGAATCAGGTTCAGTAACTTCAAGGCTGGATCTGGGCAGTCTGTGAGAATAAAACTTGGATCATGTAGTGAATTTGGAGGCAGAAGAGCCATTGTGAAAAATCAGATTTAGGTTAGCTGTACAGAGTTCAGTGGCAGACCTTCCTGACACAGAGGAGATGTAGAAATGGTGTAATTTTAATCACCACCCCCAGAAGTAGGGATTTCTCCTCTAAGGGTAAAGTTGCATGCCGTAGAGAAATCAAGCAATTACCTGCCGTGTAGTCCTGGAACACAAAAAAAGCAGTTCAGAAAGACACAGGTTTACACGGTGCATGTGTGTGTTCTCAACTAATCATTTCTACAAACTCCAGTTTTCTCTTTTGATTTGCAATAATAAAGTTATGTCTGTGAAGATGGCCTTAAAGTGAACGAGCCATTTGTTGACGTGTCGTGGGTTAGAAATGGCCCATGGCCTCTAAATGGGAAATAATAAAAGCTTGAAGCGTGTGATTGCTTTTGTGTTTGGGGAGGGAGGAGAGTTAGTTTAGAGCTGCTGAAGGAAGCTTTGAAATAGGTAAAAGTGATGTGTATGATTGGCACACTGCATGCTCTTACACATAACAGGACTTGTACTTCTAGCTGCTGGTGACCACAGTGAACACTCTTCTATTTCCATGGCTTCAATAAGGCAAACTTCAACTCCTGACACGTCTGAGGTGACAGCAGTTCTGCACTGCTGAAGAGAGCTTTTAATTCTAATCGGACTTTGGGGCTGGGTGGAGAGGGAGAGGCGAGCAAGTAGCAAGGCTGTAATAACCTGTGGGATGCTTTAGGAGGCAGATGCTCCTTTTTGGCTGTCCATCTGTGGGGCTGGGAGGTAGCATTAACTGTGAGGGAAAATATTGTGTTGCTGTTTTGTAGGACGTGCTTTAGGAGGAGTGGATCCTTTTACCCACTAGCCTCTTTCTTGTGAGGCAAAGGAACACTCATGAAGAAGGCAAGCTAGAAAGCAGATAGCAAATTAGGAAGGGAGGCAGTGCATGGACTTAGCAGTGTCCTCCATTCCACCAACTGTTTTTTTTTCTTGTTTTTCTGTTCTATTCCTGTCATGCAGTCTTTGGGGTTTCTCATCTCAGTGAGCAGTCGCTGCCATCCTCATGCTGTCTTAGTCAGCTTCCAGTGCACCACCTTTCGTTCCTCACTGGCAGAGAAAACCCTCGCACACCTGAGCTCACCAGTGGAAATCACTGCACATAACTCATCAGTATTCCTGAATATGTTGGATGGAGCTTCTGTGCCTGGGGTGGCAATTGTCAGTCTGACCAAATCCTGCTCGCAGCTCTTTGGGCAAAAGCTCTGTCCTTGGGAAGGCAATGCGTTGTAGATTTTCCTTTTTCAGTTGCTGTCGTTAATAAATAGGAAGACCTTTCTTTCTGCAGAGGGGAGAACACGTCAATGTGAAATGCCAAGTTTTGTCTCCACTGAACTGCGTGGGCTGTGATTTTGACCATTTCACCTCTGATGCCTGGACTGCTTCTGAATAACAATGTGTTCCCTTTTTCTTTCCAACAGTCTTGTGGATTCCTTCAGCTGTCCAAGTTCTGGGCCACAGTACTTCTCTTGAATAACTTTTGTTCCTTCCCTGACTTGGTATTAATGAGCAGTGACACAGCTGTGCCTAACGTTCCCAGGGTCGTAACCCAGCGCTTTAATATTCCTATGTTTCCAGGCAATTTGACTGTTTCCCCACTGTTTCTGATATATACTGGCTAATTCAGTTCCTATTTTATTTGGTCTGTAATTCTGTTGTTGATTTTTTTCCCTTGCCCATTGTTTACATCAGTTTTTTAATTTTTTTTTGTATTTTTCATGTGACCTCCTCCACTTTCCTTTCAACCAATCATGTCCGTGCCTATCATGTGCCTTTGTCATGTGGCTTGCATGGTGCTGACGATGTCGTCCTCGCTGGTGAACAGAAGGTAAAACACTTTGTTCTGATTGGTCGCCTAGATTTGGGGGGAGGATGTCCTCTGGTCAGTGACCAGGGTCCTCCAAATTCCATGGCTCCAAAATCGTTCTGCAGCCTTTTGGAGAAGTTGCTCACCGCTGTCTGCATGTGAAGAACTAAACTTTAGTCGTCTGCACTGAGCTTGAAGAAATTTCATAGGACAGAATTACTGAGGTTGGAAAAGACCTCTAAGATCACCCAGTCCAACCACCCACCTACCACCAGTAGTGCCCACTGACCGCAGCCCTCAGTGCCACATCTCAGTGGCTCTGGAGCACCTCCAGGGACGGTGACCCCACCACCCCTCTGAGCAGCCTGTCCACTGCCCCACCGCTGCTGCACAACTTTTTCCTCACACCCAACCCAAACCTCCCCTTCCACAACTTGAGGCCGTCTGAGAGAGGAAAAAAAAAAGGCAGAACCCACACGGCTCAGTCATTTGCTTCTTTCCCTGTCAGAATTACAGTCAGCATCCAAGTAATGCTCAAAAACTGTCTGCCGTTATTACCAATGGCTAAAACCCTTCTGCATCTTATGGGAGCAGAGTGCCAACGACATGCTATTGGGGTAACTGTGAGTTAAAGTGTTCAGATGATGCAAATCACCTTATTTCTTGTTGAGCAATACTTTAACTCTGTTAAAGTATGTCTGTGTCTGTGTACATACATTCATGCTGTCCGTGTTCAGTAGCTCATCCAGAGGATTAGACGTTCCTTATCTCTGAGATGTGCTTATTGCTAAGCATGTCACGTTATAATGTGAAGAAATAAATCTGTCAAGCACAAAACCACAGCTAGTGCAGGAGATACACTTTTTTATAAGCTGTGTGTACACATATAGGCACACCCAGAGTAGTGACAGGAGCTACACTTAGCAGTAAATACATGAGGTACTATTGCACTGTTCTTGCCAGAGCAGCTCACCCCTCCCACGCCATGACTTGGAGCCAGGCAAAGGAATTAATCCAGGTCTGAACTCCTCTAACTGGGGATTTCCGTGACTTCAAGAAGCAAATGATTGACCCTTGCAGCTTATGGAGATGAAATTAGTCTCTAAGACATGGTAGCAAAAATATTTTCTGTAACACTGTGTTTTTGAAAACTTCACTTAATACCACTCTGTGCACAATCTGAAGAGAGGAGGGGAAGCCCTGCTGCTGCCCCAATTAATAAATCACTTTGCAATCCAGGGAGCAAATGGATTTGGGTTTTTTTCCCCTCAATCGATGAGTTTTGAAGTGCCTGATTGTCGTGGACCACCACCAGGCCAGGGTTTGAGCAGGGATTTGCCAGGAAAACAAAACTAACACCAGTAACCTTCCTGCCTGACTGCATGCACCGAAGCAGCCCCTCTTCCAGGTTTTCTTCCCTCTCTAGGCAAAATCCTGGAGGGCTGAAGACATGGTTGTCTCGTTTTTGCATGTTACGTTTTTTGTTCCTTATTTCTTACTGTTGATACTCATTTCTCTTGTGTACATTCTGCAGACTTCTACCTGCTCTTTCTTCCCCGGCTGTATTTATTGTGGAGATTTCGATAGCTGTGATGTGTTTGTTAGCTTCAACTTGTGACACTGTAGATCACAATCTAATCCCATTTACACAGCAGTCAGAAATGCACAAATCAGCTTTTTGTTTGCGTATTGCAGAAATAACTGCAGACAGTTTGCAGCTGTGTTCTCTGAGCACAGCAAGGATGCAGAATTGTCCTTTGCTGCCAGCTGGACAAGGATTTAAGCTCCTAGTCTCCAGTGCTGCAGTTGTCTGGTAACCAAATTGACCTGCTTTTCAGTAGCTGGGCAGAAAGACCACGTTTGGTGAGAGAAGAGAGGTGGTGAGAGGCTCAGTGTAAATGGGAGAACCCCCCGCAGGCATGTAGCACACCTTTATAAGCACTTTTGTTTTCAGCCCCTTCTCCTGTAGCGAGGATGCATGTCCTGTGAGCATGAGTTCCTCTCTAACCTTCAGCTGACAGCCTTTTCTCTTCAGCTACTGACACTGACTCGCTGTAGAGATGCTGACTCTGCTGGACTAAACTCCTCCCACTAAACTTCTTCCTCCTTTGTTTGAAACTACACACTAACCCGTTTTTAATTTTTCAGCCCTGTATCTGGATTATATCTTCTTGATTGAGGTCAATTAAATCCTGTGTATGTAAGGAGAATGTTCGTTACCAGGTTTTGCACCGCTGCAGCTGTTTGTTTCAGCAGTCAGGAATGCTCCATGTTCTCCTTTTAGAAGGGATTTTCTTGAAGCAGAGGCACACTTAAGCCATGGGGAAAAGAAGGAATCAGGAGCTAGAAACCATGCAGCTCACAGCAAAGAAATTTCAGCAGTGAAAGCAATTAATGCTTGGAATGGCTGCATGTAAAGTGCAGCAGGACCTCAAAGTTTCAAAATCTTTGTATCAGGAATGAGCATTTTTATAAAGGATGTTCGTTCCCAGTTTAGTCTTGGTACTCAATCACTGGAAAAAAATTCTAGTCCTGTTAGATAAGAGGTCGGATTATTTAAGTACAGTATTCCCTTATCACTTCAACATCTGTTTACCTATTAATAATTTTCTCTCTGAGATAAAAATGGGAAAGAGCACGAAGGAGATGTTGATCTTACACTGTCTTGTTATCAGCAAAGTCGTTTATCAAGTCTGTCAAAGTAAGGCAGAAGCCAAGCACTGCTGCTCATGAATGTTTCAGCACATGCAGCTCGGTGACTGGCAGAATAATGGCCTGTGCTGCTGGGATTTGGTTCCTTGCATGAGGAAAACGTTGAGCAGGACATTTGTTCCTGCTTCCATTTAGCTGTTGGGCATTATTCCAATAACAACTTCTTCAACTCAGAATTCAAAATCAGTAACCTTGGCAGTGATCTCTTCTTTTAGGACTGGGGGAAGGAAGATGATCTTGGGGTATTTCTGTAATCTGGTATTTTCAGCATGCCTGAGTGAGGTGCCTCTGTTCATCCAGACCTCACCTGTTCACATTTGATTTCCAGTCTGTGATGCGTTCTGTGCTTTCACCATTCATAATTCCAGGAGAAGCATGGTTTGGGAAGAGATTCTCAGATATGCAGCCTCAGTAAGCTCACAGAAAGACAGATCCCCAGCTTTGTACAGTAGGTGGCAGATGTGGTCATTGCTTACTGATGAAAAAGGAGCATTCCATCCTTATGGCTTTAAGAAAAGTAACTGCTTTGTGAAACACCAGTGAGTGTCTCTTACATCCAAGAACTGTGCGTCCATGGGTTGTAAATGCCTTCTTGGAACAGCTGGTGCTGGAGCATGTGTCAGCCTGTAAGGAGATGGAATTAATCTTAAACTACTGCTTCACTCTCAGTTTTGCATTTTTCTTATAGATGTTTCACCAAAAAAAAACAAACAAACCCAACTCTACTTGATTTCTTTCTTTAGAGGATTTCTTCAAGTTACTTCTGAGGATCAGCTTTGAAAGATATTGGAAGATTAACCTTTTTCTGGCCAGTTCAGTGCTGCACATGCTTTCCATCAGCAGCTGAATGCATATCCAGGCAGAATAGATTTAGAACTGGGGATGTTTGTTGGGCTGAAAGAAGCCATAGCCGGTGTTACTGGCCAGTGTTGATCTCAGTGCAAGTACTGCCTTACTGTGTCCTTTCCCTTTTAGTACAACAGCAGAACTGGGTTTGAGAAGCCTTGTCCCAAGCAATGGGCTGAGCTTTAACGTCACAGTGTGATTTTGGTGGCCTGGTTGTGGTCAGGCTCTGAAGCTGCAGGTGTCACAGTTTCAGAGTTCGGGTGTTGTTCTCTTGGGGATCTGTCTAGAATCGATCCATCCCTTAATTGTGTGTTGCACTGCACTCCAGGGGCCTGTCAGCATGTGCTTAAGAGAGACATTGTACAGATCACAAGTGGCTCTGCAAGTAAAGACAGAGGTGCTCTGCCAGAGCCATAAGTCGCCTTGAGTTAGGATGGTAAAGCGTGTGCTTGTCATTCACAGGCCTGTACAGAGGTTTGTGTTCTCTGTATTTGATTTTCCTGTGGCCAGCTGTAAAACACACTCAGATAAACAAATAGAAATGCTTTCAAAGTGCCTGAAGTCTGATTGGCAAAATAGAGGTGCGGGAGGTTTGTTGGGTTGGGACTTTTTTTTTTGCTTTTTAACATTCAGCCACCTTAATTGATATATAAAATACTGTAAGCATTATGAGCCTGTAATGAGAACAACCAACAGAGTGCAATTAATCTTAGGAGTTGGTTGGAAGTGCCAACTGCAGGTGATTTGAAAGCTTTAATTTACAAACAATTGCAGTGTTGGTTTTGCTCAAATTACGTGTAAAGACGTGAAGCAGATCAGCCTTCAGAGAATAACAGCTGAAATGCTCAGAAGTTCCTGAAGAGCTTTTAAGCCCAGAGCTCATGGCTGAAGCAGTGGGACTGCAAAACAACCTGGCAAGCTTCGGCAAGATTTTTGATTGCCTTTGAGTTCTTGGGATATTTCAGCGCTGGAGAAATAATATCTCCAAGTCCAAACTCAAGTTGGATCAATGTGGGGAACCCGTGCCTTCATCTTGCATGGAATGGAGCAAAGCAGGCATCAAGGAGCTGATGAAGTTAAGCAGGATCTGAGCTCCTGGAGTCTGTGCCATTTCTTAAAAGAGAGACCAGCACTTCTTTCTCATCTCAGTTCTTTTGCTAATTTGATGCATATGTTGTAGTGGTTGTTTGTTGGGTTTCCTTTTCCACAGAAGCAAATAAATAGGTGGACGTATCTGTTTCACAGTGAGTTCCCAGGCTAAGAAGAAGAAGAAAATATGTCTGTTGAATAGTCAGCTGCATTATTTGTGAAAAGGCGATGTTGTGAACATATAATGAAAGTGTGGGTTTGATTTCTGTTAGGAGAGGTGACAGAGAGAAGTTGCAGTGTGAGGGGGGAACCATCCTGCAGGCTGTGTGTGAAGGTTATGGGGGAGCTGGTGAGGAAAGGGCAGTTGGAGGCATGGTTTGAAAAGGACGTGGATGAAAATCAGCGCGCCCTGAAGAGAATAAAACTTCAATTTCCTGCTGATGCCAGGGGTGCAAATTCGGAAAGGATGGCTTTTTCTTTTAAAGGTGGTTGTTACAGAATGATGAAATGGGTCACATTCTTTGCAGCCTGTATTTGTTGCCATCTGGTAAACCAGTGAAAACAAGTGTTGTTGCCCTTGTATCATTTTTTCATACCCATTCAAGTGACCACAGCAGTGAGGTCACTGTGGTCCAGGGGCTATAAAACTTAAACAGCATGCAAAGTGCAAACAAGGTCAATGTGACAAGGATGTCGGTTCTCAGTAATTCTTCTTATATCCATGTTGTAGAGGAGAATCCTGCCTGTTTGCTATATGCTCTAACTCAGCATTTTCCAGATGACTCAGACAGGCATTTTGGAACAGAAACAGTGAAGAACTGGGTTTTGCTCCAGGGTATTCTCATGGAATGATGGTGTCTTTTTCACTTAACTTCAGACTCCATTCAGCATATGCAAAAATGATAAATTACATCAGTGGAAGCAAACTACCAAATGCAAGCAGAATTGGGTCTTGCAGGTGTGTCTGAGTAAGGCCAGTACGATGTAGTGAAGTATTTTTCTGGCTTTGAGTACTTTTTTCCTAACAATTTCTTTTTTACAATTAAGCATAAATCCACCATTGTTTCAGGGGAACCCAGTGCACCCAAACTGGAAGGGCAGATGGGAGAAGACGGAAACTCCATCAAAGTGAATGTTATCAAGCAGGATGACGGTGGCTCCCCAATCAGGCATTACCTGATCAAATACAAAGCTGTAAGTATGACCGATGCCTAAACCTTATCTGCCTGTAGCCTCTTCAGAACTCATGCACCCCTATGCAAGCAGCTATCTTAGCAGATTGAAGCTGAGATCTTGTGGGTGCCCCATCCCTGCAGGCACTCAAGGCCAGGTGGGTTGGGGCCCTGGGCAGCCTGAGCTGGTGGGGGGCAGCCCTGCCCATGGCAGAGGGGATGGAACTGGGTGGTCTTCAAGGTCCCCTCCAACCTGAGCAGTTCTGTGGTCTTGCAGGTAGATCTGTACAGAATATCAAGAGGGTAATGTAATGTCAAAACCAAAACCAAATTCAAGCAGAGATTGAACAGCTTGTTAGCCTACCCCACTCTGCCTTTGTCTCAAGGTACTTTGGAAGTAGGTTTTTCAAATTAGCATAGGCAGAATGAACATCTGCATTTCCTGAAACTGGAGCAGGAATCATGAAGCTGCTGGTTGCATGCCCTGTTGAAAGTCTTTCTTAAACACTGCCAGGTGGAACAGTCCTGATAAGCTAGGCCAGATGCAAGGTCAGAGGTGGGTCTGTCTTGCAGAAGATCCAACTTCACACTCTAAGGGCTATAAGAATGTTCTTTATGTAGAACCCTCCCTGCGTTTCCCTTTGTTAGTTAGCTGTTACCCTGCTCTCAGAGCTGACCACTAACGTTGTGCTGTTTGTTTTGCATCCCCACCTGCCACATCGTTGTCCTGCAGAAACATTCCTCAGAATGGAAGCCAGAGATCAGACTGCCTTCTGGCAGTGACCATGTAATGCTCAAGTCTTTGGATTGGAATGCAGAGTATGAGGTTTATGTGATAGCTGAAAACCAGCAAGGGAAGTCCAAACCTGCTCACTATGCTTTCCGGACATCTGCTCAGCCTACTGTCATCCCAGGTATGGCAATCATAAGCTTTACCATTGTTTTCTGCTTCCAATTAATGCAACAGTGCTGCATCCTTTAATGTGCCTGAGTAACCCTGACAACTTGCTTGCTTAAAAGCCATTATCATAATTGGTTACCCATCTAAAGCTTGATTTTTGCCACGTACATACCTGCAGTGTAGCACACATTAAGGTATGTACAGCATTAGCAGTACACTGGTAGGAATGCAACATGGCAGAGCTGTCTGACTGCGCACAGGGAATGGTGGCTTTAGCATCAGGGTAACAGCATTGCCAGATGTGAAAAGCAGTGGACAGAAAAGGCTTTCTGAAAGCAGAAAGTAAGATTCACAGCTTAAACTAAAGCAAAGGGGACCACTTATGTCTCTGGTGCAATGCTTTTCACAATTCAGATTTCCCCTCCAAACCCGCTTTGTGCTTGCTTACTGCCCATTTGTCCATCCAGTTCAGCCTTTGGAGGAAAAAGACACAAGGAGTTTGCTAGCAGTCATAAAGGGAGAAAGGGAAAATCTTTCTCCAAAGAGCTTTCGTTAAATAAAACAGAGATTAAAAACAAACGTAACTTTAAAGTAGCATTGTTTTCATGTCATGGCAGGGAGTTAGAGAATGGTAACCAAAGTGCATCAGAATGCTGCTGGAAACTTGTTTCAGACAGACTTCTCTCCTCAAAAAGTGAGGTAAAAGCATAAATGCGATGGGAAACAAGCAGGCCCTATGAGGTGGCAGCAATCCTACAGTTTGCTGGCAGGCATTAGAAAGACAGACAGTGTTTATTGCTATGCAGGTGTCGTCTTGAACCATTTAATAACAAACCCCCAACCTGAGGGTTGGAATTGCTGTACCAGCTGTAAATTCAAGCTCAGACTGGCTGGAGGCAGATGGGCACACTGCAGGTCAGGTCCTCACTGCACAGCCCGACTGAAGCAGCTCTGTGCCCAGTGTCAGTCCGTGCTGCAGGGAGTGATTAGGTTGTATTCTGTCCTCTGAGTTCTTAGGTCAGTCCTGTGTTTTTGTTCAGAGTTATCTGTTTTCATCAGTCCTCTCTTCACATTGAGAATTTAATCCTTAATTTGCCATACCCCTGTCCTGTCTGAAGCAAACAACTGAGAGCTGGTGCAGTTTGTGTGCTGAACCTCCACTCAGTCAAGCCAGGTAGCATTGTTGAGCGTCCAAATGAGTGACCATGGCTGGGGCTTGAAGATGTGTACAGCAGCAAGCATGAGGATGAGGAGGGGGAGAGAATGGGGCAAAAGAAAGACTGGGAAGTGTGTTTGAACAGGGCTGCAGTTTGCGTTGGAACGACACTCTGTAATTCATTAAGCAACTTACCATCTTTCTCATTTTCAGCAGCACTACTACTACTTACTACTCTCATATATTTGAAGGACAACTGTGACTAATGAGGCAGGGGAAGGTGGGGATAATTTGGCAAAGAGTGCCTTAACTACAGGCTAGAACAGTAGAGCACAGAGTGTAAGCAGCAGACAGAGCGTTCCTTTACTGTTGTGCATCTCCTCAGGAAAAAGTTCCAAGGACTGATTTGCAGTTTTTTTCTTCCACACTGCAGAGCTCCTCTCTGTGCTGGTACTCTCTCAGCCTTTGTTGCACACTTGTGGAGTACCAAGGGGTACCTGGGGCAGCTGGGATGGCTTGCCTAGGGTGTTAGCAATCTCTGGGAACTCTGTTTCCTTTGGAATACACAGTTCATGCTGTAGTCCATGGCAGAGGGAAGAGCAATAATCTCAGTTTCCACTGAGCCCTTTAAATGCAACAGAAATGTGGGAAAAGACTCCTTAAAAGAACAGAATTTTTTTAAATGTTCGCTTTGTTTTCATGGGTGCAGTTTCCTCTCAGGAGTTACTCCTTACTTTATCTGATGTAAAGCATGGGAGAGGTCAGGATCTCAGCTTGCTCCTTCCAGTGTTGCGCTTGGAAATGTTGGAAGCACTTTGAAAAATGGTTGTTTTCACTCTGCAAGCTTGCGCAGGATTGACAGAGCAAATGAATGCAGATGTTTCTTGGGAAGAACGTGTCTTGGTTCAGGAACAAGTAGGGCATGGTGCAAGGAAGTGGCTGCTGCTGCTTGTGCTGCATTGGTGACTTGTTTCTCTAGTTTGCTTCATTTTGTTCAGACCTTTGGCTTTTATTAGGCCTTTCGAGATTCTTCCAGATGCTTTGGTGCCCTGAGCTTTCTCCAAACTAACAGTGTTCAACAGAGTACTTCCAGAGGGCAGCCTAGATTTCTCTGACACGCAGTCACAGGGCTCTGTTGACATGAAGGCTGCTACACCAGATTGCAGTGGCGAAGAGGCTCCGTCCATTACTTTGCTTTGTCACCTCTGTAGAGTTTTCACAGTGTCCTGGAAGGGTGAGAGAATTAACAAAAATGAATCGCATCAGATCAGTTCACAGGCAGCTGGAAGGCTGAAAGGAAGGACCAGCTGTGCTCCCAGGCCTCCCATCTGCAGAGGTTTTACTCACCCAGATCTGTCATGTGAGCCCCGGTACAGGACGGGGCAGGCAGGCGGATCGTTTGCTGCTGTTTTCTTTCTCTTTGGAAAAGGCAGTGTTGTCCTTTCAAATATCAGACAGGCTTCTTCTTGTGCTGATCGCTGAGCCCTCTGTTCCATCATTTTGAATCCCATTTGCTTGCTAACCTCGTAACCCCTGCCTTGAACTCTGCTCTGCGGCTTTGGACTTTGCTGAGCTTCTGGACCTGGCCCTTTTGTCGCTGTGAATGTGCTATGCTTCTTTCTAACCTTTAGCCATTTTAGTTTACTTAATTAAATAAACCTTTGATTCTTATGTTTTCTATATTTATGACCTAATTTTTTTTTATCTATTTTTTCTCTGTCTCTCTTTTTTCTTTCTTTCTTCCTCGCCCTTTCTTCCCTCCCCTTTTTCCCTTATTCCTTTCCTATGTCTGTCGTCATACATGTCACCTTGGATCTCACGGGAAACATCCACGCTTGCCACATGCACCAAATTTGCTTTTTAAACAACCATATTTTCCCCTCCTGGGAACCATTGTCTGGCACCTGCAGCGACCTTGGGAAGTCCATCAACGTCGTCCTCCTTTGTTTCATTGCTTCTTTCTGCAGTGACTCTGCTTTTGCTCTGTTAGAAACTTAAAATAAAGCAATATTTGCTTGAAGAGGCCTGGGTCCTGCCGAGGTGTTGAAAGCTGATAACTTTGGTTCAGAGGATCCCATCAGTTCAGGAGGGGGGGAAGAAAAAAATTGTGTCATTTGAAAGAGTTCATATTTTGTAACAAGGAAGAAAGGTTTAAACCGAGTGTTTTATCTTTAACAACTTTTGTTACTTGTAATGAATTTGCCCTTTTTAATGAATGTAAAGGAAGAGTTTTTTGCTTGCTCGCTTGTTTCATCGTAGGAGAGTACAGTATTGAGAGCCTTTTAAAAAAGTCCCCCATGCACACATGCACATAAAAGCCCCAACCGGATCTTTGTTGATTTGCTGATACATCTGGTGCTGATCACCACTGTGTTGAGCACAGAGCTTCTGGAGCCCTGCCCGCAAATGTCAGCCAGGAGAGTAAAAGCAGGGAAGCAAAATTGCCAGAGAGAATCCTACTGAGCGCCCGTATTCCTCCGTGTGCTTTGCAAGTGGGCTCAAATGTACGGCCCTCAGGTTGTGCTGGTGTGGTGACGTGAATACAGACATCTGTGGGAATTGCACTGAAGGTGTTTCTTTCTCTTTCCTTTCACTGCTTGATCCCTTGGGACTTCATTGGCCCCTGTGTGCAGTCAGCCATCCCATGGCCCATAGTGGATCTGAGGCATCGTCCTGCCCAAGAACATTCAGATTTGCAATGGATGCTTGTCTAACGTTGCTTGGTTCTCTACTACTGTCCTGTCAACTTCATAGAGAGATCTCTTGCCATTTAACAGAGAAAATTAGCTTGAATCAAATGACCTGACGATCTAAATGGTTATTACTACTGATCTTTAATCATATTCGTGGTTAACTGTGCATGTGACACTGTCAGACAGGATTAATCCTTGGTGTAAATATAATGCAGCTTTGTTACTGAGCTCTGTGTATTGCGTTTCGTTGAACAAATTGCAGGTGATTTTCTTTTTTTTATTTTCTTTTTTTTTTTTCCTCCTCGAAAAGAAAACAAAATCCTGTGCACCTCATGAATTGTCTTTTGTGATGGGGAATCCATTTGGTTCTGTTGCTCTTCTAAAAATGGGTGTCCATCTCCTCTCTTTCTCTGTAAGTGGGCCTGGGGTGGAAAAGAATGGAATTGTTGGTGCAGTTACTGAGCTCTCTGTACAGAATGTCTCAAAAACTATCTGTTGTGCAGAATGAGCTTCATCTTTCTACCCAGATGCTAACAAGGACAAAGAACAAGCCCTGCCATCATCAGTCTTGTTTATCTGTGCGTTTGATGCTCTGCACATAAGACTCTGCTGTGTTTATTCAGACCTTGTTCATGATCATTTGTGAACTTCTTTTCTGTCTAAATTATAAATGAAAACTTTGTACGAGCGCTGCACTCCAACCATGCGGATATTTTTTAACCAAACAGAACAGACAGAGCCACGCTCTCACCTCCAGTGTTCTGGAACATAGCAAATTGGTTTGGCTTCCTGCATTTACACTTTAGTATAATGGAAGTAGTCGTAACCCTAAAAAGCTGTGTGAACTTCCCATAGCTTGGGAAGTTATTAAACTCATCCATAGATCTACTATCAGTTTGTATTCCCCTTACCTGTAGGCACAGGTTGAGGCATAGGTGAGGTTGAGCACCCAGCTCTGGAGTATTGAAACCAACTTGCTGAAGCTGTTACTGGTCATAACTGGTGGATGAAGAGAGAGCAGCCCTTCTGGGAGCCATTCTTCCTCCATGGTACTGGGGATGCATTACCTTCCCACGGGCTGCTGCCTGCAGAGACTAAGCAAAGCCCGGGTCACTTACATGGTGAAAGCTGTATTAAATGATCTGGTCAACATGGAATATATACAAAAAGAAGTCCTGTCCCTGTGTTTGAAAAAATAAGGAGCATAAGTGATATTTTCACTGCCTGTTTACTTGGGTTTGTAACATGTTAGATTTCAGATACACGCATTAGATCCTTGATCTCTGACAGTCAGCGCTGGACAAGATCCCAGGCCTTATTCCTGATGTCAATAACATTTCAAAAAGCTTGCAGAAAAGCTAGCACTCTTTTTTTTGTACTCAGAGGTGAGACAGATTCAGAGCTGGAACCTGAAGGGGCTCAAATACTCAGATTTTCAGCACACAGACAGCTTCACAAGTACATGTTCTGTGGGATGTCACAGCTCCAGGAAGGCTGGGATCTGGGTCCTCTAGAAGAGATGATTCCATGTGCGATGAACTGCAGAGCTGTGCAGGATCTCCCCTGGCCCCCAGGATGCCAGCAGCTCTATTCTTAGTTTGTCAGTTAGTTTCTACATTCTTGGGGAGATATCTGATGATATCCTTTGGCTGCATGTCAAATGGGAGAGACCTTGTTTGATCGGAGGGAATGGCCTCAGGTTGTGCCAAGGGAGGTTCAGGCTGGATGTTAGGAACAACTCTTCCAGAAGTCATTGGTCATTGGCACAGCTGCCCAGGGTCACCATCCCTGGAGAGCCATGGAGATGTGACAATGATGGGCGACGCTGATCATAGGTGGGCAGTCAGACTGGATGACCTTAGGGGTCTTTTCCACTCTTAATGATTCTTTGATGATTTTCTCATAAAAAAAAAATCAGTTGCAGTTGTTCACACCTAATTTCTTTTAGATAAAAACAAATTTTTGAAGCTTTCCTGACTGTTGCAGCTAGCAGAGTGCAGTGAGCAGCCAGGTGGCACGGGGGGGTGCACTTCAGTAGTGCAAAGAAGGACATGCTGTGGCAGGGGTCAGACTGCAGATCAGACTGTTTTATTCCTGAAGGCAGGATCTTCATATGACTTCCTCTGTGCTTGCAGTTCTTCCTTTTGTATGCTCATTACCCTCGTGTTCATCCTTGCAAAGGGAGGCAGTCGTAGGGAAATACAGAACTTGGTGCTGGGAGCCAACTGCTGGAGGAGCCAACGTGTTGGTGACAGTCTGAAGAGTTCAGCTGTGTTTCTGGAAAGTATCTCTTGCCTTCTGGATGTGGAAGGAGTGCTTTCAACAGACCGCTGGGCATTTCTGCTTCATGGTAGTTAAGGTTAAAGCAAACATAAGCTGTTGGACCTAATTCCATGTGGAAACAGACACTGCTGTCACATGGAATAGATGGTTACTTGCGGTCTGCATTTTTCCCCTGTAAGTTGTGCAAGGTGTTTGACAATGCTAATATAAGTTGTGCAGGTGCTTGCCAATGGCTGTCAGAGAGCTAAAACTGCTTCCAAACATCGGCCATAGGTACACACAGACACAGGAGAACCTGCTGCTGTTATCCGAAGTGGAACGGCACGTGTTGTTTGGAACACCACCCATCTGTTCCTTCCATTCCTTGCTTTCTGTTACTAATCCTAAGTAGCAAAAGGTGAATGTTCAGACAGGCTTTTTCTGCAGCAGCACTAAATAACCTCAATATCATCCCTCCTTAGAAAGTAAAGCAGATATGTTCAGTCAGATGGGTGGAGGAAGATACGACGTTTCGCTTTCACGTGGGGATTTCTGTTACAATTTCATACCTTATTTCTGGCCTGAAGTCATCCACCTCCTGTTTCCAGCTTTTGGAATTTATTGTATCTTTGCTCAAATAAAGTGCCTTTATTGTCTGTACTGTTCTGCTGCATGTAGGTATTTATAGGGCTGCATTGATCTAATCCATCCCTGCACATTTATTTGGTTGCGTTACATTGACTGCATTTCCCAAGTCAGTTTTTTTTGTTGTTTCAATTCTTCAGACTGGGTTGTGGTGTTTCCCTGTTTAGCCTTCTTCCTCAGCACTGTTTTGAGCAGCAGCTCTGTGTGCTGCTTTCCCACGGGACCCTCCAGCAGCTGCCAAGGAGCTCATTCCCAGGGAGATGCTGTAGATGAGAGAAGTTTAACACAGCCTTACATTTTCCTCCAGGAGCTGCTGTGATCAGGACTGTGTTAACTATTGCATCATCCATGCAAGAATCCTGAGTACATCAGGAGACAGAAAATATATATCCTCCTCCCTCCCTGCACACACAGGAGGCTGATGAATTCATTTAATTACACAGCTTGATGTGAGGTGCTGGCAGGGGCTGTGGCACAGTCGTTCTGCCAAGCACTCACTGGACTTGTGCTCCAAGTGTCAGAGTTGGGCACCTCAGAGTGACTTTCAGATAAAGTAAAATGCAGGAAAAAGCCCAAAACTCTTTCCTGTTGGAGTCCCAAGTTCCTCAGTATCTTGTCTCAAAATGAAACGTTTACCTCCCTCATGCTAAGGATGTTCTGTCTTCTGTTTTTAAGTAATAAAAGAATGGCAGAGACCAGGAGGCTTCCCAGAGCTCTGGAATTAATGTTTTCACATGCTACAGTCAGCATCAATTAGCCTCAGGGGCCAAGGGCTGCTTTACAGGCAGCTGTTTCCCAGCAAAGAGATTCCAAGTGTTTGGGGGCTGTGACATCCGATGGTAAAAACACTGTAAGTAGAAATTGCATCTTAGTGAAAGAGCAATGCAGGGCTCCTAAGAAATGTGCTCATCTCTCTCAGCTGTCTCAGTAAACTTGAGTGACAAGCTCTACCACATGCACAGACCTTGCTGAGCACGCAGGCTGAGAAGCAGAGCATGGGATGGCTGAGATCTGCTGGTCTGAGCGGCGCAGGACCTCTGATGGATGCTGAACTCTGCATGAGCTCAGCAGAATGCTCTCTCTGCAGAGCAGCAGCTTGGGAAGAGCTATTCTGAATCAAACAAGGGGAACCAAAAGTGGGTTCTGTTTAGGGCATGGCAGCAGGAGGCTGAGAAGCCACAGCTGATAGCTTTGAAGAAGAGTTTCCTTTGCCAGGGAATCAGTTCTTGCTCGAATTACACAGACTTAGTCCTGTCAGCCCAGTACACTCCAGCCCCTGTCAGCCTTCCTGCAAATAACATGGAGAGTTTTAGGTGATAGCAGAGGAATTACTAAGCAGCTCAGCCCAAACAGTCCGTTCTTTCGTACGGGTCAGTGAGGATGTCAGTGTACAACAGGCAGTGTTAGTGCTGCTTGGTTTGCAGAGCACCTGCCCTGACCGTGCCTCACGTCCGGCCTCGAGGGCTCACTCACACTGCCCAGCTGCACTGCCTTGGCTGTCGTAAATTTGGAGGCCGATCTTACTTGTGCAAGTACCTTTGTATTCACATTTTGAAATCAACAAAGATTGTAAGTTTCAGAGAGCAGCACGAATTTGGGTCAAATTCTGTACTGCGGTGCATGTGAACATACATTTCTTGCCTGTGGATTTTATCGCTTACTGCCTGGCTGCTGCCTTAAAATCACTGTAGGTTTCATTAGTACAACTCCTGCTGCCATGTACACCGTGTTTGGGAAGACACCATGGAAGAAGTTAGCAGATCTTCCCAGCCTGTGCTGGTCGGAGGAAGGTTGGAGGATCTTGGCAAGTCTGGTTCCTCCAGCAATTGCATTCGCTTCCTGGAGCGAGTCCCGGCTTTGCTGCATGCCTCACTTGCATCCCCAGATCCTGGGAGACGCTGATCTGTCCCTGCCAGAGGCCACTCTTCATCTCTTTCATGCTGCTGAAAGTTGATGGCAAAGCTCGTGAGTCTCCCTGTTCTCAAAAGGGCTTGCTTGGGAGCAGCTTTGTGAGACCCCTGTAAGAGCAAAGCTTGTCAGCTTCTCCAAGTGGGCTCATTTGAGCCCTACAAGGGCTAATCAACATTCAGGCCCCTCTGGTGTTTCCCAGCATTCAGTGTCCCACCAGGGAACGTTGTGCTGCAGAGCTTCACTTCCAGCCGTGATGCTTGTCCTTGTTCTAGGCTGGCAGCATCAGAGTCACTGTGTGCCCGTTGGGGCGGTGGTGAAAGAGAACAGGAACCATTCAGAGTTCCAGCTGGGTATACATTACAGTGGAAGAGTTTTCCATGATCTGCTTTCCCTGTCCTTAGGCTAGTAGAGACTGGAAAGGCCCTGTCAGGTCCCAGCAAACCTGCATGGGTTGTCCTGCACATCTATAGGACAAAGTACTGATTATTACACATGGCTGCTGGAGAAAAAGTGCATGTTTTGTGAGTTTCCCATGCTTGCAACCTATAGCCAAGTCTGAGCCATAGGTATCCCCGGCTCACCTTCTAACTACAATGCTTTCTTTTCTTCTCTTTTGGTCTCTAAAGCCAGCACTAGCCCTACGTCAGGCCTGGGGACTGCTGCCATCGTAGGCATTCTCATTGTTATCTTTGTGCTGCTCCTGGTGGCTGTGGATGTCACCTGCTACTTCCTGAACAAATGTGGCCTGCTGATGTGCATTGCTGTCAACTTATGTGGCAAGTCTGGACCAGGAGCCAAGGGCAAAGACATGGAGGAGGGCAAAGCTGCCTTCTCGTGAGTACCATCATCACTTCTTTTACTCATTCTGTTGGGGGTGACAAAAAGGAATCTGCTGTCCAGGGCAGCTTATTTCTCACAGTCACCATCAGTATTTGAAGCGTGTCTTTGCAGGACAGTCTTTGCAGTTACTGTGTACTGTAACCAATCTCTATGTAATCTCCATGATTCTAATTAATTCCCTTGTTACAGGAAAGATGAGTCCAAGGAGCCTATTGTGGAGGTGCGGACTGAAGAGGAGCGGACCCCCAACCACGATGGGGGAAAACACACAGAGCCCAACGAGACCACACCACTGACAGAACCAGAGTATGTTGCTATTCATCAGTCCTAGTGCAGAGTCAGTACAGAACCCTCATTTGCTTTAATTGCTGATCACTCATGCACATGCCACAGGGCAGGAAGAGAGGAAGAAAGCAAAAATCTTCACATTCAGTTTCTGACATAGCCGTGAGAAAATGCTTCCTCTCTTCCCTGCCTGACTCCCACCTGCTTTGATGGAGTTTGCAGTGGAGCCCACTGGTAAAATGGCTCTGCTGGAAGTCGCTTTGAGGTGAGAAGAGGAAGGAGGCTGTACCACAAGCACACTGAAATGCAGAAGCAAAGCACAGCAGAGTAGCTAAGATCTGTATGCTTGTGATTTTCTTGCCTTGTCTTACTGGGGTTTTACCTTGGTTACCTTCCTTTACAAAGATTTTCTCTTAGTTCATAAGGCTGAGGTGGTGTTCTCAGGCACGCTGGCTTCTATTGGAGTAAATCAGTTGTTGTTTCCAACCTCTCATCCATGTACTTAAGCAATCAGTGCTATATTGTGGCAGCAAAAGCATAATTACACTGTCAGGCATTGTCCTAAAGCAGCCCCTATTCCTGCTAGAACAAAAGGCAGAGGTTAATCTAGTCAGAAGGGTGGAAACTGTCGCTTCTAAGCTGCATGAATGTACATGTATTATGTGTGTGTATGTGAGGACAGGAATTAAATTACGCGTGGTTTGATGGAGGCCTTAGACTTGTTGGCAAAAGCATAGGGCCAAGACAGGAGACTGAATTCAGGAGTCCTGCACCGGGATGTTGTTGCATGGTTACAGATGACACAAGGCTGCAACCTCTGGGAATTGGTAGAAAGCTTCCTTGTAAAGCTAAACATAAGAGGATGAGAAGGAAGTTAGCCTGAAAGAGAAGACTCTGCAAGTCAACAGGGTTACATTTGACCAATACTTGAAGCATAATCTGTCTGAGCAAGCCACTCCTGAAGGTTGTGTCCTCTCTGCTCTTCCTTCTCTTCCTAATTGTCCTTCAGTCACCCTGCCAGCCCTTGCTGCCCTTTGTGTATTTCATCTCTGAAAGCTTTCTCCTTCTCTGCCGCCACGCTGTGTTTGTGTTCTAACACCACCATGCTGCTGCTGCTGTTTCACCCACTTGCCTTCTCATGCTTATGCTTTGCTTCCCTTTCCCCATGCTGTCGTTTATGGGCTTCATTGTCTCTATTTCTCTTCTACTCCTGCCCTCTTCACAGGCACACCGCCGATACCGCAGCTACTGTTGAGGACATGCTGCCTTCTGTAACTACGGGCACCACTAACTCTGACACTATCACTGAAACTTTTGCCACTGCTCAGAACAGCCCCACCAGTGAGACCACCACCCTGACCTCCAGTATTGCCCCACCAGCCACGGCCATTCCTGACTCAAACGCCATGTCGCCTGGCCAGGCTACTCCAGCCAAAGCGGGAGCTGCCCCAGTCTCTCCACCACCACCCTCTTCTACGCCCAAAGTGGCTCCCCTTGTTGATCTCAGCGATACCCCAAGCTCTGCTCCAGCTACTAACAATTTGTCTTCAAGTGTCCTGTCCAACCAAGGTGCGGTGCTGAGCCCCAGCACTGTTGCTAACGTGGCCGAGACCTCCAAAGCAGCAGCTGGTAACAAGTCAGCTGCCCCAACCCCTGCAAACCTCACTAGCCCTCCAGCTCCATCAGAGCCCAAGCAGGAGGTCTCAAGCACCAAGAGCCCCGAGAAAGAAGCTGCGCAGCCCAGTACAGTGAAGAGCCCAACAGAGACAGCCAAGAACCCGAGCAACCCGAAGAGTGAGGCTGCTTCAGGCGGCACCACAAACCCCTCCCAGAATGAGGACTTTAAAATGGACGAAGGGACCTTCAAGACACCAGACATTGATCTTGCAAAGGATGTTTTTGCAGCTCTTGGCACTACTACTCCTGCCAGTGTGGCTAGTGGGCAAGCTCATGAGCTTGCTTCTTCCACTGCAGACAGCTCTGTACCTGCTGCACCTGCAAAGACCGAGTATGGCTGCCTTTAATCTTCTGTTGGTTGTGTGCTGTGTCTCTCGTGCACTGGTGCTTGTGCTGTGTTCTTGTTGGGTGTTCTCTGAACTAATCTCATTCTTTCCGTAGCAAACTAACTCACCAGTGAACTAACTAAGCAGGGCTTGGCTTTAAAGGTTCAGGAGGAAAGCAGGAATAGGCTGTGCAAGGGCAACAAAGACAAACGTAGGAATTTCTCATAAACGTGTGATTCTTTAATTTTTTTTGCAGCTTTACCTATTGTAGATCATTCTTTCCTAAAAGAGATTAGAAACAGTTTGGTTTGGTGCAAAGGAAGTGCTGTCCTCAGAGGCAGTGAGTTCCTCCAGTTCAGGCTCCCAAGCACAGGCTCCCAAATTCAGTTTCCCAGCAGATCAGCGGGCCCTCTCAGAACTTCTGACTGCATAAGACAGGGCAGAAACTAGAGCCACGTGGAAGTGTAAAAGTGTGAGACCTCTGGATTTGCCCAGAGAGGTTTGGATGCATCATCCCTGGAGGCATTCAAGGCCAGGTTGGATGGGACCCTGGACAGCCCGATCTGACATGGCAGGGGTTTGGAAGCGGATGATCTTTAAGGTCCCCTCCAACCTAAGGCACTATATGGATTTGTACCTAAAGTAAAGGTCAGTGCAAAAGGGTAAGGCGTTGTGCTCCTGCCTGTGCATTGGTGAGCACTCAGTACGTTTGGGTCAGGATAACTTGCAGTGTCTTTGTTGTCCTGGTACATCTGGGATGAGTCTCCATCCACTGTACTTCATCTCCTTTATACCAGCTGAGAGAGCACCAACATGCTCCTAGGCAGCACAACACTAGAAGCCCTTTGGGAGCCTTTCCTCAGGTGAGATGAATCCACAGCTTGTGTTTGGCAGAGACACCATAACTGAAGTGAAAACAGCATGAAGTTCTCACCTGCTAACTGGGAGAAGCATCCCCAGCTGTTACACAGATGTTGGACAAGAACATCTTCTTGCTCTGTCTGTTTGGACAGTGGTTGGTGGCAGAGCCATTAGAGCAGAAGCCTGGAAAATGCTGATTGAAACAGATAAGCTTCTCTTTAGGAAACAAGTACTGCAGTTCCCAATTCCTTCTGGCTTCCTATATGGACACTGTTGACAGTGGCAGCTTCAACTAGGAGCACCTCTTACTGCATGAGCAAGGCCTGTGCTTTATTGCTAGAAAGATTCAAAAAGGCATCTCAGATCTGTTGTGAAAGCAGCTCCCAAAAGCAGGAGGCAGAGACCATGGCAGGACTTTGCCTTTTGCTAAGGAAAGCATGTTGGTGACACAGAGCTCATTCATGATGAACATGAATCCTTGCAGCTAAAAGCTGCTGCCCCGTCGTGCTGGGTGCTATAGAGACAAAGAGAGCAGAGGGTTGTGAGCTGGTGCTGAGCTGAACAAGGTAGGAGATGATTTGCCTGTCGTGAGGAAGCATTTCAGCTGAGTGAGTGCAGCTTGGTCTGCACCACGCAAAGGAATTCCTGGTGTGGTGGAACACAGGGCTGTGTTCTTTCTGCCAGTGCAGCCACCTTCTGCCTGTGCTGCCCATCTGCTTCCCCTTCTTGAAACCAGTTGGCAACTGTAGGCTCGGGTCATCTCACCCACTGGTCAGAGTGCAGTGGGGTTCCAGCTGTCTCAGGCTGACTTTGCAGTGGGATGTAACAGGAAGGCTATGAGGAGTGCCTGGTGTAGCACTTCCCATAGCTGTGAAGAGTGTTGGACCAACAGGCTTCTCTGGTTCTGCAGCAAGTGCTAAGGACAGGTGAAGAATCAGCATTAGGTGATGACCTTCCATATGCTTGTGAAAATGCATTTGACTTACTGTGTTTTTATTCCTGCTGCATACTGTGAAATTATGGAGATGACTTCCTATAGGAAAAGGGATCTACTGCCGAATTGCAGTGTGTTCTAACAGGACGTTAGGTGGCATAAATGAGTGATGGTAAAAATCAAATTCATTTGCAATTGTGTGAGTTATGCTGTTTTCCTGTGGCATTCCACACTACTGCACACCCTCTGTGCTTCTGCTGCAGCCCTCCTGCTATAGTAGCCCAATGCAGGAGGAAATTCCAGAAGGATTTCAGTAGAGCTAAGTGAGCTGGGGGGGGAGGTGAGTCTGGTTGTCCTTATCTTTGCATTTGTCATTTTGCTCTGTCCAGGAGACACATTTGAGTGTTTCCAGCAACGTCTTCTTTCCTGATCGCTCATCTACCACAGTTGGTCTGTATTTCTCTGTTTCTAAACTGTGCCATTTTGGTGATTCTTCTTCAGGAAAACCCCAGTAGAAGACAAACCTGAAGTGCAAGCAACGGAAACTAAGACACCTCCAGCAGAAGTGAAGACGGTCCCCAACGAAGCCACACAAACAAATGAAAATGAGAGCAAAGCATGATCAGCAACAGATGAAAAAACATGGCAGAACGACTTCACCCAAGCATTTACAACACGAAACACAACACACATCTCATTCCTCTAGTGTCTGTTGCCTTTTTTTTAAAAAAAAAAACAAACAAAACAGAAAATGCATAAATGGGGAGGGGGGGGTTCTCTCTTTTTTTCTTTTTTTCTTTTTTTTCTTAAGATTTTTAGGAAGGTTCTATTTGTCGTGCACTTGCTTTTAAAAAGTAATACATTTTGAAACAGGGTTTAACCCATCACCAAATCGGGGGCTCAGCTGTCCCCTGGTATGTTCAGAATTGCAAAATACCACTTACAGCATCGCTGAGGAGCTCAGAGTCAACCAGTCTTAGATGAAAGGAAAAAAGAGAAAAGAAAAAAGAAGACCCTGTTCTTTCCTTGGTTAGAATAGTAGATATAACCACTGTACTGCTTGCCTACTTGGTACAGGTGGTACTTAGTGAACAAAGTCCACAATTTATTTTTATACTTTTCAGTCGAGTTTGAAATATGTAAAGCCTCATAAATAAGTTATAATTTCTGTTCACCTTGTGTTCAGTATGCAAAGTGTCGTGAGCATTTTGTGGCTGAATTCTGTTCTCCACTTTAGACATTGATTTGGGGGGTTATTCTTTTTGTTAGGAAGAATGCCAAAATTGCAGCTTTGGGGGATGTATTTCAATTTGCAGTATTCAGACTCTACATTTCTTTAAATTTCATGTTAATTTTTGCCAACTTTTGTTCTCTCCAGTGTTTACAATTGACAATTTTTTTTTAACTTTTGTTGTGTTTAAATGTATTTGTAAAATAGCTGCCTTTTTTTTTTTTTAAAGTAAATCCAGACTCTAGCTACTAGGTTAGCAGCATGCTTGCTTTGCAAAGGGAGACATTTTAAAATATCGATGTTTACAGTAGTTTCCCCTTTATCTTTTTTAATTATTATTATTATTATTATTATTATTATTATTTCTTACTGGAGTAAGAAAAAAAGAGTAATGCTGGTCTTCGGTTTGTTTTTGGGGGGTGGGGCGTGGGGAATATCCCAACCACTTGTCACCAATCGAGGTCTGTATCCAGCAATCCACATAAACACGCTTAACTTCGAACAAGAGAGTTGCTGGCGAGAGTTTCCTTATATACTTAAATTTATTACGAGTGTAAGTCCCTTGCTGGACCTGGGCCTGACTGCATAAGAAAAATATCATCTCTGCTTTTTTAGGACATTCTTCTCTTTCCTTCATGGAACCCTCCCAGAGCTTTGAGAAGCAGAAGAGGGATTGTACAGTTAGGGCTGGGCTGGTCTTGTCTCTGCTGTTTGACTGCATCCATTTCTCCTTAGAATGTTGATGACTGCCATTTCCTTTGACCCCAGAAACTGATTTAAAAGCATTGACTTTCCGCACTTAAATAAAGTTTCCTTTTGAGGAGTGGAAACACTAAAAACAGAATGTTCTGCTCTCATGCGGGTGACGTTCATGAGCACAGCAGCATGCAGGTGTCCCTGCTCATTGCAGGGGAGTTGGACTGGGTGACCTTTAAGGGTCCCTTCCAACCCAAACGATTCTGTGACTCTCCATAAGACCCCTTCTGCAAGGACAGCGCCAGCACACCGTGTCTGTTCAGTCATCCACGTATGCTCTGCATCATCCAAACCATGTAGCCATGGCTGAGCACTTGGGCATCAGTGCCAACACTCCCGTTGACGTCCCTGCTCTTTGCACCATGCCTTTAGCAGTCAGAGAAAGGGGCTGACGTCACACGTGCATTGTTGTGGTCATCACTGGGAGTCGTGGAGTAACACTGGGACTTTGGAATGGGAGAAGGTTGAGCAGAAGGAAGGCGGAGGAAGGCCAGCCCGTTGTATAGAGGTGCTCCTTCTCTGGGGGTTTTGCTTTGTTTGTTTTTCCTTTGTTTTCCTTTTTTTTTTTTTCTACTTTAGATCTGCAAGCTTGTGCACTGTGGGTGCGTGACTTTTAGTGTGAAACGTGTTTTTTGTCATAGTATTGAAATAATTGAAAAAAAAAAAAAAGCTTCAACATAGTTTGGATGTGGAAGGTGTAGCGAATAGTTCAGATTTCAAATATATATATTCAGGAGAGAAAAAAAAAAGAGAACAACTCTTAGAAGGAACACAAGCCTTTAAATGACAAACCCAAGCTGACGATGTTGCATCGTGCCATGGGGACGAGCAGAAGGGTGATGGGGTTGGGGAGACCACGCTTGGCTCGGGTGAACTGAGCTACTCTCATTGGTGTGTCCTTCTGAGTGTGCAGTTTTTTACAGTGGCATCACATGATTTCAAACAGTGAAAAACAGTGGTTTTGTCATTTGCTAAGTGTGGGGTTTTTGCATTTTTTCCTCAGCTCCTGGGGATGGAAGTGGAGGATGGCTGGATGTGCAGGCGCAGACACTCAGGCAGTACCGTCCCAGGCAGGACAGCAGGGCAGGACAGGTCCTCACTTGAAAGCCTTGTGTCAGATTCGACCCATGCTTGCCCCGTGACAGCAGTGTTGGTGTAAGTAAGGCGAAGTTTGGTCCGTGGTCCCCAGACCTTACGTGTCATGCCTCCCTGAGCAGCAACAGGAGCAAACGCTGCTCAGCACAGTGACCCGGAGTCGCATGTCCAGTGCCACTGCTCAGCACCCATCGGCTTGCACTGTGGTGGCTGCCACCCAGACTGGCATTTCTGCCACATAAGGCCACCAGCCCAGGGCCCCATCCGGCACCTGGTGTCACAGTGCCCAGTGCCTGCTGGGCTGTGTCTCGTGGATGGAGCCTCTGTCCTGCTCCCTTAGTGCCCCTGTGACTTCCCCATCCCCAGTACCCTTAGATTAATTTTGGAGAGCATTTTTATACTTGCCCTTAATGGAGAATAATTTGTTTTAATTTATAAATATCCCATTCCCAAGGTAGCTTAGGCTTCATTGCTTTTATTTAAACCTTTGAAGAGGGACCAACCTGATGCCGTTTGCGCTGTATATGTTTATATATGTATCCATGCCATACATATATATATCTATATGGCAACTCAGACTGATCAGCTTCTAGTTGTGGAGTGACTACATTTCATGCTGCACCATACGTAATGATGATGAGGTAATAGTGCATCCAGTTGTTCAGCTTTTAGAGTGGAGTTTTATTTTCACACTTTTCTATGGAGCCTTCAAACCCCAGGTTTTCACACTAGGCTGTTTTGATAGTTGTTCTCAGACCTCCACTGACATCCTTACCCAGCATTCCCTACTTTTGGGGGCCTTCTATCTTGTTAAAAAAACAAAAAAACAAAAAATCTTTTTACCGAGTGAAACATCAATTCCACCTTTATTCCCATTCTCACTGGTGTAAATACTAACTGAGGATTTTGACTTTGCATTCTGTCAGAATACTGTGTTCAAATAAAAATTACAAAAAAAAAAAAAAAAATACCAACAAAAAACCTCATGCCTGCAGTCTGCACTTCTTCAGATGTCAGCAGTTGTGTACGGAGCAATTCTGGAGTGCCGGGTGCCACAGAGAGGAGCATTGGTCAGGTCTGTCCTTCTGTCCCACCTACATTACTGCCTTGAGATGACAAACACACCGATGCTGTTGAATGTTGCTGTGAACCCGAGTCAGCTGGGTGTCCCATAGGGAGGCTGAGTGGTGTGTGCGTGTGTGTGAGTGTTGGCTTCAAAAGGTGTCAGTAATGTGTCCCAAGTGGTGTGCCTGCACATGGATGATGCTGGAGTAATCAAACTGCATTTAATTCTATCTTAAGCATTGATTTCTCCTACAGTATTCTGGATAAGTAGCAGACCATGGCCTGGACCGGTACACACTGCTGGGCAAAGAACTGGGTGCACTGCTGGGTTCCCCAGGGGTCGGTTTTGGGGCCGTCCTGTTCAGTGCCTTTATTGATGTGCATGAGGGCACTGAGTGCATCCCAGCAGGTTTGCAGATAGCTCCACGTGGGGGGAAGCGTGCATCTGCCCGAGGGCAGGCAGCCCTACAGAGGGACCTGGACAGGCCTATGGCTGGGCTGAGGCCAACGGGACGGAGCTCAAGCAGCCGAGTGCTGGTTCCTGCGCTTCGGCCACAACAACCCCACGCGGCGCCGCAGGCTTGGGGCAGAGCGGCTGCAAGCTGTGCGGAGGGAAAGGAGCCGCGGCTGTCGGTCAGCTCTCGCTCGGCTGGGCGTGAGCCAGCAGTGTGCCCAGGTGGCCGAGAAGGCCGACGGCAGCCTGGCTGTGTCAGCAGCAGCGCAGCCAGCAGGAGCGGGAGGTGAGCGTCCCCTGCACTCAGCTCTGTGAGGCCGCAGCTCGGCGCTGTGCTCGGCGTTGGGCCCCTCGCTGCAATGCAGGCGTGGAGGCTGGGAGCGTGCAGAGAAGGGAACGGAGCTGTGAGGGGTCTGGAGCACAATGGGGTGCGATGGGGAGCGGCTGAGGGAGCTGGGATTGTTCAGTGTGGAGAAGAGGAGCTCAGGGGAAACCTCACTGCTCTCTGCAGCTCCCTGACTGAGGGCTGTGGTGGGCTGGGGGTCGGCCTCTTCTCACGGGAAACAGCAAGAGGACGAGAGTTGCTCCAGGGGAGATTCAGGAGAAACTTCTCCAAAGAGTGGTCATTGGAACAGCTGCGCAGGGAGGTGGTAAAGTCCCTGGAGGTATTCAGGAAATGTGGAGACTGAGGGACACGGTCAGTGGGCAACATTGGTGGTAGGTGGACGGTTGGACCGGGTGATCTTCAAGGTCTTTTCCACCTTAATGATTCTATGATTTCCCAGGACATGGACTGAAAAGCTGAGAGCTCTGCTGTACATCAGTCCTTGGTTGCTGGAATTGCACACAGAAAATAACACAGGTACGTGTATTGAGCTGCAACACTTGTTATCCCACACAGAGCTCTGCCATTTCTGCACCCCCAGCAGCGCCGTGCTCTGCTCTGAGCGCAGCTCGGCATGCTGTGCAGCAGGGCAATGCTGGAGCAGAGCTGCTGGGAGAGACCACATAAACCACATAAACCACATATGCTGCTGCTTTACACAAGCTTGTCCCCATCTCCTCGGAACACAACAGTGGGCTGAAGCAGTCACAGTCGATGTTAATTGGCAGCGTGGCTTCCATAGGAAAACCACTTCTTCAGGGTCTGGGAACATCCCCTTTTGGGGCTGAGCACCAGCCCGAGGTAACACAGATACACTTCCCTCCATTGTTTCTTTTCCAACTGAATTCAGCTGAACAAAGTCTCCTGCACAAGCTGCACTTGATGTTGCATCACTCGGTGTCCTTCTCCTCTCCAGCCCTTCCTCAGCTGCTCCACCCGAGGCGATGTCAGTGCGGCCATCCCGTGACACACGGTGCCGAGCACGCGGTGACAGCGGCGGGCAGTGGGACGGCATCACCCGGGGTTCTGCAAGCTGTCATTCACCCGGCACGGGGAATTACTTGTGGTGTTGATTTAAATGGCAAAGCACAGAGCAAACAGCATCACTGCTCCGAAGCTGAAATCTGCAGAGCCCAGGAGGGAGGCACCTCCAAAACAGCCCTAGCTTAGCAACGACCTCTTTGTACTGTGTGCGGCTTAACCGCGATAGCTTTTACTCTCTTTGATCTTCGGGGTGGCTTTATTCCCTGGATTTCCCAAGACAACGAACACACACTGCTCCACAAGGCAGCACTGCGGTCGCAGAACGCGAAATGGCGGCCTGCAAACCCCCGCCTCCCTGCGCGTAGCCACGCCCGCTCTTAGCGTAGCCACGCCCCCACTCTCCCTCCGCGTTGTCGTTACGTCAGCAGCGTGGTATCCATGGCAACACCGCAGACGCTGCGCAACCTGCGGCCTCCCGCCATGGCCGCGCTGGCCGACCCGCAGCAGGAGGAAGAATTCCAGCGCTTCCTCCGCCGCGTGGACGACATCAGTGAGTGCGACAGAGGGGGGGTGAAACGGCCGGGAGATGGAAGGGGGAATGAATGGAACACTCCTCGTCCACATCTTGCCTGTCGGGTCTCCCCAGGCCGCCTGGTGCAGGGCTTGAGCTCTGCGGACGCCGCTGTCCGGGACGGAGCGATCGCCGAGGCGGACCGGCGGCTCCGGGAGCGGCGGGGCAGCGAGCAGAGCGCGGCCGGGGTGGACAGGACGGTGATCAACACGCACCATCCCGTACAGGTTTGTGCCCCGCTCCTGTGGCCCTGCCTTCTGCACGTGGTGCTCTTTCAAGTCCTGCCAAGCAGAAAATCTCCAACGATGCGTAAGGGGAGCTCAAAGCCCACCCAGTGCCACCCCCGGCCGTGGGCAGGGCTGCCCCCCACCAGCTCAGGCTGCCCAGGGCCCCATCCCACCTGGCCTTGAGTGCCTGCAGGGATGGGGCACCCACAGCTCTCTGGGCAGCAGTGCCAGTGCCTCACCGCCCTGACCAAAGGATTGCTTCCTCACAGCTCACCCACATCTCCTCTCTTTTAGTTTAAAGCCATTCCTCTTTGTCCTGTCACTGTAATGCCATGTAGAAAGTCAATCCCCTGCTGCTTGTAAGCTCCCTTCTGGTGAAGGCGTACTTCACCACCTGTTCCACTGCTGCTATGGATTCTACTGAATTATCCATATGCAAACCTACATGTGCTTTACTTCTTTTTTTTTTTTTTAGGGTTCAGTGAACGCAGAGGCAGTGCACACAGGTAAAGCAGTGCTCCCTGCAGCCCTCAGCACCCCTTCTGTCTGCAGTAGCAGTGGTGCACTGAGGATTGCTCTTAGCTCACACAAGACCTTGTTCCACTGCCACTAAAGTGAAGGCAAACTCTTTGGACACATCTAGAAATGCATCTGTGGCTCATACCCATGTGGCTGAGCATGTCCATTGGTATAGCTTGTCACTGCTGCATGTTAAAGGCTGTTTTTCTGGATTCAGAAAGAAAGAAATGCTTGTCTGGAGGTGAGCTGCTTTGTGGAAAGTACAATCC